AGAGGTCCCAGGACCCCACAGACTTCCCAGGAATGCCTTCAAATATTTACCAAAGAGTGACACCAGTGCTTCTCAAATCCTTCCAAAATACTGGGGAGGAAGAGATGCTCGTCTGTGAAGCCATCCTAGGGCACTGCAGGAAGGGAGAAGAGAGACCAGCACCCCCAGCACATTTACGCAAAGACCCCAGAAAAGTGCTAATGGACTAATGCAGTGGGATTTTAAAGCATTAACCCCCACCCCCGGCCAAGGGCTTTCTATCCCTGGGAGGCAAGGATGGCTTGAGATTTGGAGATCAACCAATGAAGTGCACCACATTAACATCCTCACATGGCAACCACACACAGGGAACGTGACCTGGGAGGGAAGCACTGAATATGACAGAGCCTTCCTCCAGGGTCAGGCAAGATGCAGGTTCCCCATTGATCATTGTTCAAGGCAGAAGTGGAAGCTTTAGCCAGAGCAACGAGGCAGGAGGAAGGCATGAGCCACCCAGATTGGGAAGGAAGAAGTGAAACTACCGTCACAGGCGATGTCAGCCTCAGGCAGAACACCCTGAAACCTCCACAGAGGGCTGTGCTGCTAATAGAAGCCCTATAAGCTGCCAGGCATTGGCAAGGGACACATAAGGAAATGGCTCCACTCACAGAGCACCAACAAGGGGAGACATTCGTATGTCTGACCAAGCAGGCAAAAGATCTGCACTCCAAAAACTACCGAATGTGGTTGGAGAAGCATTTTGAAGACACAAAAAAATGGGAAACAACCTGTATTCATGGATCTCAAGACTTGGTATGGACGAGATGGTGATGTTACCCAAAGAATCTACAGAGTCCATGCATCTGGAAAGAAATTCCAGTGGTGCACTTAATAGGACCAGAAAAATCCATCCAAAAATTCATGTGCGATCTCATAGGACCCTGAGTAGCCAAAATATTCTCAAGGAAGAAGAATGAACTTGGAGGACTCCAACCTGCTGATTTCAAAACTTAATTAATACAAAACTTCAACAAAGGAAACCGCTGTGGTGCTGGCATACAGCAGCTGGGAATGAACACTCCACATGGCCAACTGGGTCCAGACTTGTGTGCAAGAGCTCGCGGTCTTTCCAACACACACGCAGTTCTGGAAACACTAGATGTGCAGGTGCAAGAGGGCAGCTAGACCCTTGCCTCACACCCACGAGCTCAGGAGTGCACCAAACAGCCCAGAGGCAGACACAAGAGCTGAACCATGAAACTCCTAGATGAGAACCGAGGGCGCTCGTGTCATTGAACCTGGCAGTGACTCATCAGACATGACAACAGAACACAAGCCACACAAGACAATCGGTAAGTGGGACATCAGCACTAAAAACGCAAAAAGGTGAGGACCGAAGAAAATGCCTTTAAATCACTTACCTGAGAAGGACCGGCACCGGAGACACAGAAAGAACTAAACAACTAATGCCCCAAACAGCAGAAAACCCACTCATCAGTGGACAGAGGACATGGCAGGCACTATCCCAAAGAAGACATGTGGATGGGCAGTGGGCTCATGGAAAGAGCACCACAGGGAGAGGCTTAGGGAATGAACACCAAAACCAGAGGCTGCCTCTCACCCAAGCCAGAAGACAGCCAGCTGGGGACTCGAACGGCGTCCCTGTGGTGTGACTGTAAAATGGAGCAGCTGCCGTGGCAGAGGGACAGCTCCTCAAAGCCACCACATGGCCCTGCCAGCCCACTCCTGGCTCGGCCAGGGACGGAGAGCTGGGGACTCTTGCAGGCTGTCGCCACAGCATTGGCCACAGCACAAGGGCCATTGGCCATGTGGACAACCCTATGTCAGGGCTGAGCCCTCAGGGCCGTCCACCAGGGCTGAGGGTGAGCAGGGCTGGGCAGTTGGAGACAGTGGGCGGTGGCTTGGGCTGGTAGCAGCTGTGGCAAGAGGTGGCAGATGTGGAGACGGCCTCTGGAGGGGACTGGGGAAGGTGTCATGGCCCACAGGGTCAAGGCAGGCCCTCACTCCTCATGGGATGACTCGTCCAGGGCGATGTGCCCTCCCGAGGCTCTGTGCAGTCCCCTTTGTCTGGGCTCAGAGGCTAGAATGATGGACAGGGACTCGCCCCAGGCTGGGCCAGGCTCCACCGTCAGAGCCACAGGGCAGGTTCCTGGCACAGCCCGGGGGGCCGCTGGCCAGCTCCCCCTTCCCAGCAGGAACAGCCGTGTCCCTTCCTCCTTACCCCTGCTCCCTGCTCCTTCAACTGTGAAGAGGTAAACTGGCCCCGCAGGCTGAGCAAACAGGCTGGGTGGCTGGCCACATCCGGGTGTCTCAATAGCCGTGACCCTGACCGGCCACACTGGGCCTGTCCTGCCCTGTCCATGGGAGGGTGCCCAGGCAGTCCAAGGGCAGGACCTGGGTTGGGGCTGCAGCTGCCCCCCTTACCACAAGCCTTTGTTGAGCGCTGAGTGAACACAGGGCTGAGCCCACCCCTGAGGAGCTCCATCTAGGAGAAGGTGGGCAAGGACAGGCAGGACACCCTGACTCAACAAAGGGCTGGAGTACGCCGGACCCCAGGTCAGCAAGGACAGAGGCCTCAGGGCTGCTGGAGCAGGGGAGAGGTGGCCACCCAGGCAGTGGACCCACACCTAGCAACATCCGGGGTGGTGCCCAGGTGTTCTTGCCACCAGCTTTTTGCCCAACCTGTGGGAAGACCGAGGAGCATGGGGTCCAGCAAGTGAGCAGCCCATGAGCACAGAGGGTCCAGGCCAGGGTACCAGCCCACCCCACGCCAGGGTGGGGGTCCTTCCAGCCCTGCAGCAATGGGCTGGATATGAAAGAAAACTTTGGAGACCATGAAAACCTTATCCCTGGGAACCTGCAACTTGGGGAATGACGGGGTGGGGACGAGCCAGTTGGAACACTAGCCTGGGATCCTGAGGTCAGAACCCAGGCTCACTAGGGACAGCCCAGGACCAGGCGGTCCGCCATGTGGGATCCTGAGGCCTCCCCACAGCAGGCCTTCATTAAAGGAACAGTGGACAAAGGGGAAGACAGGTCCCGGCTTGGCCAGCAGCCCTCTTGAGCCCAGGGGCAGTCTGTGGGGCCATTGGTCAAGCAAGGGGTGATAGTCAGCAAAATGTGTCAAAAACTTTTGAAATCATGATTACGGTACCATGCCCAAGACCCAGAAGTCCCCATCCTGACCACATTTAGTGCATGGGGCCTTAGGCACTCACACTGCGCGGCTGTCAGAGCTTCGTCACCTCCAAGCTGGAGCGCTGCGCCGTTGAGCACCACTCCCTCTCCCAGTCCCTCTCCTCCTCCTCCGTGTCTGTGATTGACCACAGAAGGGACCTCATGTGAGTGTCCTTCTGTGATCCTCTTATCATCTCACCCAGCTCGGCCCTCAAGTTTGCAGGATACATCAGAATGCCCTTGGAAAGCTGCGTGCTCCCCTGTGCAGGTGGACCACATTTTGTTTGCCACTCATTCACCGTGGGCTGCTCCACCTCTCAGGAGCTGGGGAGGATGCTGTGAGGACTACAGGTGCAAGGATCTGAGTCCCTGCTTTTGATTCTTTGAGGCAAGTACCTAGGAGAGGGATACTGGATCACACAGAGATTTTAGTTTCATCTTTTTGAGGAACCACGGGGCGTACCCCTTTTTGAGGGCTGTTCTTCACGCGGCCACGCCCTTCTCCAGCCCACCCTCAGCATGCAGGCTTCTGCTTTCTCCACGTCCTTGACAGCCCTCGCTGTCCTCTCTCTCTCTCTCTCTCTCTCTCTCTCTCTCTCTCTCTCATCACAGCCAGCCTAGTGGGCATGGAGTGGTTCCGGTTTTAAGATGGGTTACCATTTTCCCAGTAATTCCACCTCTACAAATTCATCCTCAGATACAGACCCAGGGGAGCAGGGTGTGGCTACCGAGATGCTGACCTTGCAGCAAACAAAACAAGCAGACCTAGAAAACTCCCGAGTGCTCCAGCAGCTGGCTGAGCCACAGGCCCTGGTGCTCCCTGACCTGGGGTCCACCCCAGGGCAGATTCTCAGACTGCAAGACAGGGAACGGAAAGCCCAGTGTCCGTCAAACAGGGAAGAAGCGCTAAGCCAGGGCATCCGCGTATGCATCCTGTAGAGGGTGCTGGTAGAGGCTGTTCACGGTCCAGCAGTGGCCACCCTGTGCCTGGGAAGCTTGACAAGCACATTTAAAGGCTGGGGCCTAGAGGCCCCTGCTTGGGCAGGGTGGGCAGTGGGGCCAGGAAACCCCAGCGGCCCTCATTGCCACCACTCCCCAGCCTGTGTGCAGCACCCTTGCCTGTCCAGGACCCCGGGAGTGCACACTGCTTCACCCCCACACAGGTGTGACAAGCTGGCTCCGGAGGAGGTGCGGGATGCAGGCGCTTCTGGCCTGCCTTGGCCAGCCAGCCTTGAGCCTCTCTCCCCAGCAGAGTGAAGCCTCGTGCCTTCCCAGAGGGCTCTCCCAGCGCGCTGGGGTCTCTGCACCTGGATCCTCCACCCAGGAAGCCCGTGAGTCACAAAGATCAGGTACACATGACCAAGGGGCATTCCTGAGCTGAGCAGGAGCCATGGGGCCAAGCCGGGCAATGACCCTAGAGAAGTCAGTCTGCCCACAGTGCCTTGTCACTCATCAGGGACCATGAGCTGACGCAGGCTAGGCCCTCCACCCCTCCAGCCCACTCCTCTGTGGGCCAAGTTCCAGGAGGAGCTGACGTTGGGCAGGTCTGTGACTGCCCTCCCCACAGGCCCAGGAGCTCTGTATCCAGAGCAGCCCGGCCAGTGGCCCTGCCCTCTCCCTCCCAATCATCAGAAGCTGCAGGGGGTGGAGAGGGTGACCCCTGTCTGGTGGCACAGAGCTGCAAATCCTTCCTCCTCCAGGCCTCTTTCCTGCCCCGGCCCCTCCCCAAGAACAAACACCCTGGCTGCCTGGAGCGGACAGTGCCCTACCTGGCCTTGAAGCTGGGCCAATGTGCTCCACTACATAAGCCCAGGCCCCCAGAGAGGGAGCACCTTGCCCCACTCCCTCCTCGACTGCCGGCCCGCCGTGCCAGCCCCAGGATGGGCACCAGCAGCAGGAGCTGGGCACTGGTGTGGGCCCTCGAAGCCCTGCTCATGGTGTGGCCGGCAGGTAAGGCCAAAGCCCCTCGCTCTCTCGATGCCGTTTTCCCGTAGGGTAGCCTCTACCCGGGCATTTTCCTGACCAGCTGGACACAATGCCCTCTCCACATGTCTGACACCATGGCCCCCTGGCCTCATGGGACTCCTGGGTCCTCAGCCCACGTCCCACTTGGGCCAACAGAGTGCCAGGAACCAGAGACCAGCTCAGCTGAGGGTGTTGGGGAGAAGATCCTCAGCCTCGGGGCAGGGCCCTGGGAGGAACCCCTGAGGATCTTGGCTTCAGGTTGGAGCAGGAGAGGCCATCAGCAAGGGGCATGGCTGGGATCTCCCCGGGGCTCTGAGAGGCCCAGCTTCCCAGTGAGGAGGGGCAGCCCCGACATGTTCCTCTGCCCAGGTCCAGCCTGTCCTCCACAGCTGGGATAACAGCTGGCAGAGCACCCCCAGTGGGGCTGGGCCTCCTGGTAAGGGGGAACTATGTCTGGGTAATAGGGCTAGAGCCAGGTGGACAAGTAAGGCCCAGAGCTGCCACCTGAGCCCAGGGCTGACCTGGGTTCCTAACATCCTGCCTGCCTGCCATGCATCTTCTGCCACACAGGCTGCATGGCCCTTGTCACCCAGCTGTTTCTCTTAGCTGTCTATTCTTGGGAAAGCCACGGTGCTAATACTTACTGTCATCAGGGAAAGACATGGCCCTAGTGAGCTGGGCATGGCTGCCTGGGGCCCAGCCTCCCCAGCTCTGCTCCCATTGGAGCTCAGGGCCTGGGCAGACCCGAGATCACCTCCGGTGACCAGGAGGCACGGGGGTTCTTAGAGGACTGGGGCTGGGGTGATTCCTTCTCCAGGGCCGGGGAAAGCTGTGGAGGCCCTGCCCGCTGCCAGGTTTGGATGCTAGCCTGCTCTGCTCAGCCATGTGCCCCCCTATCCAGGCTCTTGGGGGCCTGAGCAGGGTGGGCCTGCTCCTCTAACTCTCTGGTTTGGTGGGGGCAAATAAAGCCAGAAGTGGACTTGATTTTTGTCACAGCTGTGGCTGATGGGGTAAGCTGGACCCTGCAGAGGGATTCAGGTCTCTCTCTCCTAGACATGTTAGCTCATGGGATTGTGTATCCAGACCAGGTGCTCCCAGTGGCTGACAGCTGGCATTTCTCTGCCAGTGACAGAGACGGAGATGCAGGCTGCCTGCTGGCCTGAGGAGGGCCTGTACAGGGCGGATGCACACAGGTTGGGGGTGGTTTGATCTGGGTGTGACACCTGGCATTGTTGAGACTGAAACAGTAGGTGGCAGGGGCCAGGCTGGGCCATCTATCTGTGCTGGGGAGGGGCTGTGGGTCTGGGGCCAGGGGTGCTGAGAGGGAGTGGCCGTGCTTCTGGGAAAAGCAGTCAAGCAGGGTCCTTGAATGGGATTCATGCACGGCCAGTCCCTGCGGTTTCCAGTCTCCAGCAGGACATGGCTGGGAAAATCAAACAGGAGGCTGAGCTGCTGTGGCATCGAGTGAGTGTGGCTGTGTCCAGGCCTGAGTGCCAGAGTGGGGACCTGGCCCCTTGTAGAGCAGCTGGCCTCACCCGAGCCACTAGGGCCCTGGGAGCCTGTGAGGTTGAAGCTGCCCCTCTCCAGGCTCCCCAGAAGTCAGGCTGGTGGATGCAGCCTTGCCGAGAGGCAGCGGGCAGTTCAGGTCACCTTGGACAACCATCCCCATACCGGGAGCCGGATACCTGATCTGACTCATGGTTCCAACTAGGACCTGGTTCTGGTCTTGGGTTTCTGCTAAGTCACACCTGGAAATCTTCAACTGTGGTCCACCCTCACAAAGCTGGTCTTTGTCCCCTGGGACAGGAGGCATGGGGCAGAACCCCCTAGATGGTAGCCATGGTTCAGGGACCAGGACCATTTCCTGATTCCATTCTCTTCCTTGAGCTGGTGGGGGCATCTGCCCTGTCACTCGAGAGATGAGTGTCACTGGCAGGGCTCACTTTGCCTGGGGGCAGCACAGAGCTCCAAGGCAGCCAGCCAGCTTCTGTGTGTTGAGTGGCAGGGCTGGGGCACACAGTAGGCAGGGCTGCTGGTGCTGGGCCGAGTCCTGTCCAGTTCCCAGAGCTGCTGTGCAGAGATGGGCCTCAGGCCAGAGCCTGTCATGGTCAAGGCTGCTGATAGGTCTGGCTTCTCTTTGGTTTCCATCCCCTTTCCTGCAGAGACGCAGGGCCATGAGGAGCTGAGCTTGGGGAACCCAGAACCCACCCAGGACCATCACAGGACAAATAGTGGTATGTGTCCTAGGCTCTGGTATGAGGGCTCCTGACCAGGGAGAGGGTTCCAGCCAGGCAAGGTGACACCTTTTCACATAGCCATGTGTCCCACCAAGACCCTCCTGGATGGTGCCAGGCATAAGGAGTTCCAGAGAAGACAGAGTGTGGAGCACAGGATCAGATGCTCCCATGTGGTGAGCGTGCACGTGTTCACACACATATACACACGACTCATGCAGGCAGAAACACACAGGGCAGGAGTGCTTCCAGGGTCTAGGGGTGTCCAGAGGTGAGCAATGAAGAACAGGACAGCCCTACCACCTGGACCAATGCATTAGTCCTGGGCTCCCCAATGTCCCTGGGGTGGGTATCACAGAGGGCAGGGGGCCTGGGAAGGGCACACCAAGTGACCTGGCCCTCACTTGTAGTCTACCTCCCGTCTTCGTCTGCCTGGCCTGTGGTCTTTCCACCTACCACCATCATGCCCAGCACAAGCTGTAAGTAGGCGGCACCCCCACCAGCTGGGGTGGGGGTCACAGACCTGGGGGTCAGGGTGGTACAGTGTGGGGCAACCAGGCAGCTCTGGGCAGGGCCTGAGGCTTCCCTGCGGACAGCTGCTGAGCACCCTGGGGCAGAGCGCCCTGTCGCAGGTGGGAGGACTGGTGCGTCAGCGCAGCTCCAAGAGCAGCGTGGTCGCCAGCTTTCCTGCTCCAACACAGGTGCCTGGTCTCTGTGGGGGGGCTGGCACAGAGTGGGCAGAGGGCGTGGGGTGGGGACATGCAGAGGTGGCTCCATCACACGGCTCCCTGCAGCCCTGAACCGGGCCCACAACGGGCGGGTATGCAGCACCTGGGGCGACTTCCACTACAAGACCTTCGACGGCGACATCTTCCGCTTCCCCGGCCTGTGCAACTACGTGTTCTCTGCCCACTGTGGAGCCGCCTACGAGGACTTCAACCTGCAGATGCGCCGCAGCTTGGCAGGCTCCAGTTCCACCATCAGCCGCATTGTCCTCAAGACCCAGGGGCTGGTGCTGGAGCTGTCCCACAGCTCTGTCCTTGTCAATGGACAGCGGTGAGCAGGGCCCTGGGGAGCCACCACCAGTCTTCTGGGCCCCAATCCCTCGCCACTACCACGACTCCCAGGTGGGGCCAGGACCAGAGCTAGAAGGGCTCTGGGACCCACTCATGCCCTGCTGAGGGAGGATTGGAACTTTCTTCCCAGGGAGGAGCTGCCCTACAGCCGTGCTGGCTTCCTGGTAGAGCAGAGTGGTGACTATGTGAAGGTCAGCGTCCAGCTGCTGCTGACCTTTCTGTGGAATGGGAGGGACAGTGCCCTGGTAAGCATCATCATCATAGGGACATACAGGGGGTTGGAGGGGACCTTTCTGACCCCCAGGGCAGGTGGAATGGGGGGACATACCAGGCAGGCCCTGGAGCCAGGGGCCATGTGACCAAATGGAGCTGCCCCTGTTCTGTCCTCAGCTGGAACTGGACTCTAAGTATGCCAACCAGACATGTGGGCTGTGCGGAGACTTCAACGGGTTCCCAGCCAGCAATGAATTCTTTGTCCACAGTGAGTGCTGCCTGGAGACCAGGGACCAGTGTGCCCAGCCAGCCAAGGGCCAACAGTCCCAGGGAGCCCAGGAAGGCAGATTTGGGCAGGGGCACCGGCATGGAGGGAGGTGGGGTGGGTATGCCATTTTGGGGGTGTGGGATTCTGGGTGTGGGATTCTCCTGTTGGCTGACTGCAGGGGGTCCGTCTCCCGGCTCCTGAGCCTGCAGCTCTACCCACACTGTGCTTTCTCTCTGGTAGACACCAGGCTGAGCCCTCTCCAGTTTGGTAACCTGCAGAAGCTGGATGGTCCTACGGAGACTTGCCAGGACCCCCTGCCCTCACTGGACAACAACTGCACATATGAAGTGAGCACTTTCTCCATGTGACCCCAGCGGGTAGGAACAGCAGGAGGCCTTGGCAGCTGATGTGGGGCCATGGCACAGTCAGGGCCATGGTCTAAGTTCTGAGGAGCGTCCTTGCCTGACAGAGGAGAGTGGGTCTCTGTTTCCCATACAGTCAGAGGCTGGGCACTGGTGTTTGGACCCCAGGAAGGCAGTCAGCCCAGCGCCCACCAGCAGAACAGAATGGGCATGGGAAGTTGGGTGAATCTAGGGCACACATGCTCCAGGTGGGTGGGTGGCATACACCAGAAGCCCAAGTGCCTGCCTCTATCAGGTTGGGCCAAGGAGGCACCCAGAGATCCCAGAACAAGAAGCCCTTACCAATATCACAGAGGACTCCTCCTTTGGATGTGGCCTGGAATGGGTAGGTGGATGGATGGGTGTGTGGGTGGATGGGTGGGTTGCTGGGTGAGTGGAAGGAATCTCAAGGGGAAGGAGGGATTCCTTGGTCTGGTCTGTAAGGGGCAGTGTCCCCAGATAAGCACAGTGGCAATCCTACAGCCTCCCTGTGCCCCCCAGGAGGACATCTGCCACTGCACCCTGCTGGGCCCGGCCTTCGCTGAGTGCAATAAGCTGGTGGACCCCGATCCGTATGTGACTGCCTGTGTCCAGGATCTGTGCCACTGCCCCACATGCCCATGTGCTACCATTGCCGAGTATTCCCGCCAGTGTGCCCAAGCAGGGGGCCAGCCACAGAACTGGAGGGGCCCCAAACTCTGCCGTGAGTGCCCCCCACAGGGCCCAGGGCATACACTGGGAGTCAGTGCCTGGCATCTGGCTGGAGAGACAACAGGGAAGAAACGGCTACTCAGGGGCCCCAAAAAGAGGAGCAAGTGAGGAGAGAGGCAGGTGACGGGATAGCTGTGGAGACAACACGGAAGTGAAACCTCGGGGGCTGGGGGCCCAGAGGGAGGACCTGGACCTCAGGCACAGTGAGCAGACATGTGTCAGGACCTCAGGGCATGGTGGGAAGAAGGGCATGTGGGAGGCATTGGGCCCAGGCGTCCCTCACATCCTGCCTCTCCCAGGAGACACCTTTTGGGGGACCTTGGTGGACATGGAGGCAGGGAATGGGTGCAGTCCCAGCTGACCTGAGTGGTTGGATGGGACCCCTGGGCTAAGGGCCGCCTCCCTATTGCAGCACGGACGTGCCCCATGAACATGCAGCACCAGGAGTGTGGCTCGTCCTGCACCGACACCTGCTCCAACCCCCAGCGCTCCCAGCTCTGCGAGGACCACTGTGTGGCCGGCTGCTTCTGCCCTCCAGGCAGGCCTGTGCCCTTTGCCCCACTGTTAGCACCTTCAGGGTCACTGTCTCCGACATCTGACCCCAGCATCTGCTGAGGGCCCAGGACAGCCCTCCTCACCTTGGAGGGCTGGAGGGCCCTACCTGGGGTCCCACCCAAGGGTCAAGGTTGGGGTGGGCACTGTGAGGAAGCCAGGGACCTGATGTCCTGTGGGAGGAGGCAGCACCGGTGTCACAGGCCCAGGAGCCAGGTGGAGAAGCAGGCTAGAGGACACAGTGCTCACCCCAAGCCACCAGGGTTCAGGCAGGGGCAGTGTCCCAGTCTAGGGGCTCTTCTTCTACTTCTGAGGCTGTGGTCTTCTTAGAGGCAAGATGCCCCCACACCCTGGGAAGGTGACCTTTCTCTATGCCTCAGTGTCCCCATCTGTGCACAGGGAGGCCCTGTGCTCACTAGCCCCCCATCCCTTCTCCAGGCATGGTGCTGGACGACATCACGCACTCTGGCTGCCTGCCTCTGGCACAGTGCCCCTGCACCCACAGCGGCCACACCTACATGCCCGGGACCTCCTTTACTACCTCCTGCAGCTCCTGGTGGGCCCCCAGCTTTGACAGGGTGGGAGGGGTGGGCCCGCCTCTTCCCCACACCCCTCCTGCTTACGGTCTTTCCACCCAGCACCTGCTTTGGGGGTCTGTGGCAATGTCAGGACCAGCCGTGCCCTGGCACCTGCTCTGTGCAGGGAGGGTCCCACATCTCCACCTATGACAAGAAGACATATGATGTCCACGGAGACTGCAACTACCTTCTGTCCAAGGTGCGGCCCCGGCAGGGCCTCTGGGTCCCTCAGTCCTCCCACCCTAGTGAGGGTTCCTGGTGGCTGTCTGCTTGGGGGCAGGAGGCCCACAAGGCACACACTCCTGCTGGGAGGGAAGCCCCAGGCCCCGAGACAAGCTGCCTGGAGGTGACCTGGTGCCAAGGCCACCTTTCCACGGGGTCACATCCAGCCCTCATCAGCACTGGGCATAGGGATGCTCCTGTCCCACACTCAGCTCACACACACGCGGTCTCCCAACAGAAATGTGCCGACAGCAGCTTCACTGTGCTGGCTGAGCTGCGGAAATGCGGCCGGACAGACACAGAGAACTGTCTCAGAGGAGTGACACTCAGCCTCAATGGTGGGGACACGGTGAGAGACCAGTCCTGTGCACCACCGTGCCCTGGGCTGGGAGTAGCAGAGGCCTGGGAGATGAGTCAGACCCCCTGCTTTGGCTCCCGGGGCAGCCACTTCCCAGGTGGACAGTTCTGGGGCCCACCACGCCTGTCACCCTGAGCTTCTCTCCGGCTCTGTCCCTGTGGGGTCCCCAGGCCAGAGCTCGCTCCCCTTTGGGTGGCCAGCTGGGGCTGGCTGCCACAACAGCTCCTCCAGCCACTGACTGTGACCCCGCCCCTCCAGACCATCCGGGTCCAGGCCAGCGGTGGCGTGTTCATGAACTCCATTTACACCCAGCTGCCTGTGTCAGCAGGTGCGTAGCTTCCTGAGACACCGGGCTAGGTTCAGCACCTCCCAAGTAGGGTCAGCCCCTGAGCCCAGCAGGGTCCAGCTCTTCCCCCGCAAGTCCTTCATGGCCTCTTACCTACAACTTGGGGGTGGCAAAGGTCCTGCCCCAGGATGCTGTGGGGACCTGCCCTCTTGGGAGGTTAGCAGTCCTTCAGGACCTGTGAATACTGTGGGCCACAGGCATGAGAGCTCCTGCCTATGCTGCAGGATCCAGCAGGGTGGCTGGGCCCAGTTGCTACCTGTCCCAGGCAGCACTGCCTGTCTGGCTAGCCAGGCTTCAAGTACCCCTGACAACCCACCCCTCCACCACAGCCAACATCACCATCTTCAGCCCCACGTCCTTCTTCATCCTGGTGCAGACAGGCCTTGGCCTGCAGGTGCAGGTGCAGCTGGTGCCCCTCATGCAGGTGTATCTCAGGCTGGACCCCGCCTACCATGGCCAGATGTGTGGTGAGGCCCTGGTGGTTTGGGGCCTGGGCTGGGGAGGGGGTCTGTACACAGCTGGAGGCTGCAAGGCAGTGGGTAGACAGAGGCTGGCAGTGGACAGGGAGTGCTGGAGACCCCAGCATCAGCCCAGGATGCCTGACAGCTGACTGGTGGCCAGGGAAGTGGCCAAAAAGCAGAGAGCAAGCTGTGCTGCCCCAGCTCAGGCCAGCCTCTACCCAGCTTATCTGCAGATGGTTCTGGAAGCAACCCCAGGGGAATTCCCCCTTTATCTGCCTTGAGGATTGGGGAGGACAGGCTGAGTAGACAACTTGCTGTACCTGCTGCCTGGCTCCTGCCCCCAGGGCTATGTGGGAACTTCAACCAGAACCAAGCTGATGACTTCATGGCCCTCAGTGGCGTGGTGGAGGGCACAGGTGCCGCCTTCTCCAACACCTGGAAGACCCAGGCTGCCTGCCCCAATGCCAAGAACATCTTCGAGGACCCCTGCTCACTCAGTGTGGAGAATGGTACCCTCTCCCCCACAATCCCGCCAGGCAGCCCTGACTGACCCTAGGACCACAGGGACTCTGGCAGGGCTTGAGTGGCCTTATGTAGGCAGATGGCATGAGTGGGTTAGAGTTAAGGAGGGAGGCACCCTGGGCATGATGGTGGAGGCCCCACATTCCAGCCCCATTCCCTGGCTGAGAGGCCGGTGAGGGGCAGTAGCCACTTCTCTCCCTCTCCAGAGAACTACGCCCAGCACTGGTGCTCACTGCTGACCAACCGCACAGGCCCCTTCTCCGCTTGCCACTCCACCATCAACCCCTCACCCTTCTACTCGGTCAGAGTCCATGAGCGGCTGGGGTGGGCTGTGGGGGGCGGCTGGAGAGGAGCCCTTGGAGCACCCCTGCCTCATCAGGGCCTCATTCCCACCCCCCCCACACACACACACTGCCTCCCGTGGATTGGGAGAGCCCTGAAGTGAGAACTGCCCATTTGGAGCTGACGGACAGCATGGGCATGTAGCCAGAAGCAAGAGTCCTGGAAGCTCCCGGAGAGGGTCCTTCTGGCCTTAGGCTCCATGTGGACATCTGCTCTATGTCAACACTTCACTCTCATGAGGACGCCAGTCACTGGAAGAGGGCCACCGCTTGGCCTTGACTTTACTCCATTCTTTGCACACTTGGCCTGTCCAGAGGAGCTGGGAAGAACTCTGGGGCACCTTTTTGCAGACACAATTTAACCCACAACAAGTGGCTTGGGGGTCACTTTTCTGGAAGTCCAAAGTTCTAAAAAGCATGTAACCCTAGCCCTGGGGGTGTTCTCTGATGACAGAGCCAAGCTCAATCCCATGCCCATCCTGTTGACATGCCTCTCACCAGACCCTTCCTCAGTTTCCCCTTCCCACCTAGCCACACACACCCCCACAGATCATCCTGAGTGAAGTATCTCCATGCAAGTTGGGCCTGTCCTAGTCTTGTGGACCCCAGATTTACCCAGTCCCGACCTGGCCTTCAGAGCAGACTCCACTCTGCTGGCCTGCCACCACTTCTCCAAGATGACCTCAAGCTCTGTTCCTAACGTGAGGCCTGGGCCACCCCCCTAAGGAGGCCCTCCTGTCAAGTTCCCCACACGGGCCATCTGTCTTTGAGTCCTGACCCTGGGTGGATTAAGGGGGGAAGAAATAATGGGGATGAGGGACCCTGGGGACTAGGTCCCTGACCCTGATGTCTCTGGCCCCCAGAACTGCATGTTCGACACGTGCAACTGTGAGAAGAGTGAGGACTGCATGTGCGCGGCCCTGTCCTCCTACGTGCAGGCCTGTGCTGCTGAGGGCGTGCTGCTGCGTGGCTGGAGGGCCGGTGTCTGCAGTGAGTGCCAGCTGGGGTACCCCCTCAGAGGATGGGGTCCCCTCAACAGCTGTCTAGGCCTCATGGGTGGGAGTGGGGCTTGCGGGCCTTGGTGAGGGACAGTGATTGCTTACTGGATTCTTGGCCAAGAGCTTTGTGTGTCCCCACCCAACCTCATGAGGACGTTCACTGTTCCAGTCAGAGGAGGTGGGGGGTTGGGCCAGGAGGCCAGCCATTGACCTGTCCCTCACCCTTACCCACACAGCCAAGTACATGAGCAATTGCCCCAAGTCTCAGATCTACCAGTATGTGGTGGACACCTGCCCGCCCACCTGCCGTGCCCTGAGTGAGGCCGACACCACCTGCAGTGTCAGCTTTGTGCCTGTGGATGGCTGCACCTGCCCGGAGAACACCTTCCTGAATGACGCAGGCATATGTGTGCCCGCCCAGAAGTGCCCCTGCTACTTGCATGGCACCATGGTGGCCAATGGGGAGACCGTGCAGGAAAACAGCATGGTGTGGTAAGGAGGGCCATGGATTGGGAGGGCCTGAGCTCCCTGTACCCCTCGCCCCTCCAAGCCACCCTCACAACTCATTACTGCCCCCAGCCCAGGCAGGCAGGGTCTGGCTGCAGGTCTGTCCATGCCAGATATTTCTGTGCCCCATCCCATCCCCGAAGGGATCTGAGACACAAAGGGACCAGGCTGGGGGAGGACACCTGCCAGGCCCTCTACCAAGAGGTCTGGAGGTTGTGTGAGGGTCTTGGGGACCAGAGAGTGGTGGCAGTGTGTGCCTTGTGGGCCTCCTGCCAGGCAGTTCTCACTGGGGCCAGCAGGGTGTTCCCTGACCCCACTCTTTCCCTGCCTTGAAGGCAGTTTCTTCACAAGCTACGTCAGTCAGTTTCCATCACCGTGACATGAAACCTGAGGCCAACCTATGACGAGGGTTACTCTAGCCACAGTTTTGGAGGTTGCAGGCTGGCTCTGCTGCTGTGTGAGGCAGGATGTTGTGGTAAACTTGCACTCTGCATGGCAGGGAGCCAGAGAGTGAGAGAGGGGCCAGGGTCCCACATCCCCTCAACATCCCCTTTACCTGCCCCAGTGACCTCGCTCCTCCACTCCTCCCCATAGCTCCAAAGACTGGCTGCAAAGCCTTTGGCACGCAGGCCTTTCAGTGACATTCTGGGTTCAAACGGTAGGACAAGCTGAGGGCATGTCCTTCTCCCTATGTCCAGCTGCCTTCCTGAACATGCACCTGCCTTTTCCGGGTGGGGACCTCCACAGAGGCCCCAGGAGCAGCTTTCCCGCCTCTTCAGGAGGTGGGGCGGCCTGGAGAGGGCCGGCCCTTGGGGGGTCAGGAAGCCTGCGGTGGAGTCTGTGGGAGACGCTGGGTCCAGAGCAGGCTGGCCTGTCTCTTGCAGCTCATGTGCAGATGGGAAGCTGAGCTGCCTGGGAGCCCTGACGCAGAAGGCCGCATTTGGTAAAGCACCCGCCCTGCCCAGCGCCCTGGGGCCATCAGTCCCGGCCTAGACCCGGCCTCAGGCCCAGCAGAGTTGCTCAAGGTGGAGAAAGGCCAGGAGTCTGTCCCACAGTGTGGAGGTTGCCCTTGAGGTTGGGGTCCTGGGCTACACCACCTGGGCAGCATTCACAGCAGCAGGATGGAGTCAGCCGACTTGGGGTCCAGGGCGACTCTATCCCTGGGCCCCTCCCACGTGCTTGATCTCCCCAGGGTGTGTGGCGCCCATGATGTATCTGGACTGCAGCAATGTCTCAGCGGGCACCCCAGGGGTCGAGTGCCTCAGGAGCTGCCACTCTTTGGACATGGACTGTGTGAGTCTTTCCGGGCACAGCCATGCACAGCCCATGGCCCCAGCCGACATCCTAAGCTAGGGGGATGCAGCCTGTGATGATCCTGGGTCCTGATGCCTCTGGGGGACCAATGGCTGTGAGCTTTGTGGACCCAGGTACTCCACACCTGTGTGGCTTCTGTTTGGACACTCCTAGGATGGGCAGTGTCCACTTGGTGTCCTAAAACCCTGAACTGGGGCAAACAGGCCTCTCTTAGTCCCTGACCCAGACTCCCTGTGCCCCATAGTTCAGCACACACTGTGTCTCAGGCTGCGTGTGTCCCCCGGGGCTGGTGGCAGATGGGAGTGGGGGCTGCGTTGCCAAGGAGGACTGCCCCTGTGTCCACAATGAGGCATCCTACAAGCCAGGGGCCACCATCCGGGTCGACTGCAACACCTGGTAGGTCTTGATCCCCTTAGGGTCAGCGGGCTTGGAGGTGTACATGGGGACAGTGACTGGAAATGGCCTGGGTGTAGCAGAGCCTTGGCAGGTGGCCGTGCTTATAGGACCCCATTCTGTGGAGAAGGGGCCTGGGTCTTTGACCCATGGTGACAGGATGCATGCCCACAGCAAGGTTGCCCTTGCCACAAGTTTGCCCCTGAGCCTGGAGGGGGCAGAATGCAGGCACAGGAATGGCCAGCAGCCTCAGAGGGCAAGCTCTGTGAGCAACCCCCCACCCCACCGTCTAACAGCACCTGCAGGAACCGCCGGTGGGAGTGCAGCAGCCAGCCCTGCCTGGGCACCTGTGTGGCCTATGGGGACGGCCACTTTATCACCTTTGATGGCGAGCGCTACAGCTTCGAAGGCAGCTGCCAATACACCCTGGCCCAGGTGGGTGCCCCCACCTCTCCCCAAGGCTGGTGGCTGGGGCCCATGACCAGCGTCATCTCTTCCTGCCCAGGACTACTGTGGGGGCAATGGCAGCTCTAGCGGGACTTTCCGCATCACCACTGAGAACGTCCCCTGTGGGACCACAGGAACCACCTGCTCCAAGGCCATCAGACTCTTCCTGGGGGTGAGAGCACATGAGCAACCCCTGCAGCCCCCCAGCCTGAACTCCATCCTGGGCTCTCTGCTTGTTCGTCGCGGACACGCCCAAGCCCAGGACTCAGGACAGCAGATGCTTGCTGCCTCTCCATCCTGGGGCCAGAGGTCCCAGATCAGAAATGCAGGGCCAGGCTCCTGAGAGGCCTGGGAGGGCCCTTCATGGCTTGTCAGTTCTAGGGACCTCAGTGTCCTTGTCTTGTGGCCATTCCACTCCAGTCTCTGCCTGTGTCTCCTCATGGCCTTCACTGTGTGTGCTCTCCCCTCTCTCATAAGTACATTGCCATGTAATGCAGGTTGATCCCATTTCAAGATCCTTCTCTGAATCACCTGCAAAGACCCCCTTCCCCATAAGCTCACAGTAACATAGCCTGGGGATTCAACTGTGGACCAATTTTTTGGGGGGGGGGCATAATTCACCCTACCATGCCTGGGGCACTCCTTTCAGAAAAAGCATTCACGAGGCAGAAAGAAGAGCTCTGGATCAGGGCGCTTCTCCCTCGAAGGATGGGGAGGAGCTGAGAAGGCAACAATAGGTCGGACGAGGGGAGTGAGGGGTGGCATGGGGCACAGGGCTGGACAGAGTGGGCCTTTGGGGGCTCCTCAGCTAGTACACAGCCTGACATTCCCACAGCCTCCCCTAGATACCAGCACTTTCTGCCATCCTCCGGCCAAACTCCCTCCACCAGGGTTCCTTACACCTCAATCCCCTGTGTGCGTGAACTCCCTGGCTGGAGAGGGTCCTCAGGGTTGGCAGGCTGGCTTCTGGCCCCTAGCAACCTGCAGCTGTTGTCCCTGTGTGCCTCCATCTGCAGAGCTATGAGATGATCCTCCACGAGGGGGGCTTCAAGGTGTTGGAAAGGGGGCAGGGTGGGGATCTGCCCTACAAGATCCGCTACATGGGCATCTTCCTGGTCATCGAGACCCGCAGTGGGCTGGTGGTGTCCTGGGACCGGAAGACCAGTGTGTTCATCGGTCTGCATCAGCATTACAAGGTGAGTGCAGGCCAGCAAGGGCTTCCTCCTCACCTGGCCTGGAAGGAGAGATCACCTACACAGCCAGGTTCCAGAGTGAAGAGTTGAGCCACACTCACTGACAGGTGCTTTGGAGCCTGGGATGGAAGCTGGCTCTGTCCACTGGCCTTTACTATGGCAGAGGGCTCTCTGGGGTACCCCAGGAGCTGCTTCACACCTTGTGCCCATGCAAGTTCCCTTGGTGCTGCCCAGGGGAGCTGGGTGCCCTCCCTCTTCTGCTCCTGGCCAGGCTCTGTGCCCAGGCTCCCTTCTCCCTGTGTTCCTGCAGGGCAGGGTCTGCGGCCTGTGTGGGAACTTCGATGGCAATGCCCTCAATGACTTCACTACACGGAGCCAGGCCGTGGTGAGCGATGTGCTAGAGTTTGGAAACAGCTGGAAGTTCTCCCCGTCCTGCCCGGATGCCCTGGTGCCCAAGGACCCCTGCACCACCAACCCTTACCGCAAGGCCTGGGCCCAGAAGCAGTGCAGCATCATCCACAGTGCCACCTTCGCCACCTGCCACTCTCAGGTGGGGCTCAGAAAGACCCACAGCTCTGGGCCTGGTGGGCAGGGGCAGCAGATCGTAGCCTCTGGGTAGGGCTGTGGACGCAGCGGGCCTCAGAGGATAGTCTTGGCCTGACTACATCCCACAGCACAGGGTCCTGCCATCCAGGTTCCAGTCTGGCTCTCCCACTGGGCAGGCTCTGTGGTCTTTGTGCCAAGCATGGAAGTGTCTTCAGTGTTTTGGGACCCATCCTTGAGCACAGCTCTCATCGAAGCTTCCCAGGGAGGGATCCTTGACACATCCTGTGACAACCTCCAGAACTGCCCAGGCCGCAACACTAACAGAAAGCTAGCAGGGGTGTCTCCTAGAGGAAGTGGGGATAGTTTTCAGTAGAGACTTCCAAATATCATTTCCCGTGGCTTTAACAAATACTGAAGTATCCACTCAGGGGCATGGCTTCCTCATTCAGGATCCTAAGTGGTAGTGAGAGGAGGGTAGCTCATGTAGGAGCAGCTGCTAGCTAACACACAAAGTGACCTTTGCTGAGGTCACTCCCCATGGCCCATCCTTAGACGCAGGTAGCTGCACACAGGTAACTTCCATTGACTTGGAAGATGCTTAGTGGCTGACAAAATTGACCTCAGTTTTGAAGGCTGCCATGTTGAGGGAAGGAAAAAATTGGATCCACCTATGGGTCTACTGTCCGGAAGAATGTGAGTTGGGGGCTGCCCCTCCTGGACCTAGACAATGGGCAGCTCCTTGTTGTCCAGGCAGGTTAACCATGTGGCCCAAAGTGCAGTTGGGAGTTAAGCAATACCTGTAACCTGGCATGAGCTGTCCAACCCAGTACTTCCTCAGGGCACATCCTGGGTGCCAGGCTCAGCCCAGCGAATGGGAACAGAACCTGCTAGCATGGAGCTCACCTTTGGGAGTGAGACAGCCAGGCGGTCAGGGTGGGCTCTGCATAGGAGCCTGGCAGGGAGTCACCAAGGCCATGGGAGCAGCAGTCCAGGGAATGAGTCAGCCAGCAGGATGGTAGAGGGGGCCAGGAGGCTTGTGGGCTGCAGCAGAGCAAACCAAAGGCTTGGGAGCAGAGAGGCAACCAGGGACGGCTCGTGTCCCTGACAGGTCTGGAAACTGCACCCCACGAGCAGGTTCATGTAAGAAGGTCTGAGGAGCATGCGTATGGGTGCCCCGTGGGCAGGTGCCCAGGGGGCTGCAGAGGTGGTGCTGGGGATACTCTAAAGACACGTGAAGCCCAGGGTCCAGGACCTTGGACCACTGGTGTGGGATTGCCCTACCACTGGCTGCAGAAACCTGCCCAGGGCCAGCTGGCTCCTGTCCGCAGCACACGTTGCCCTCTCCCTTTGCTCCAGGTCGACTCCACCAAGTACTACGAGGCCTGTGTGCATGACGCGTGTGCCTGCGACTCGGGGGGAGACTGTGAGTGCTTCTGCACCGCGGTGGCCGCCTATGCCCAGGCCTGCCACGAAGCTGGCGTGTGTGTGTCCTGGAGGACGCCAGACGTCTGCCGTGAGTAGGGGCTCTGCCCATGTGCTGAAGGGCGTGCAGGTGGGAGGTGGGGCTGTAGCCTCTGTAGCCACATGTAGGCTCTGGGACTGCCTGGCAAGCAGACACACAGACACCCAGTGTGTGTGAGACTGCACACACATGAGCGTCCACCTGCACAGCTGTAAACATAGGCAGACCAGACAGACTCTCCACAACAATGTGGTTCCCAATAAAAAAGGAGCTACAAAGGCAGGGCGAGGGATGGTACCTCAAGCCCTACATACCTGGGCTCAGCCCAGGATGGGCACTAGGGACATGCCAAGGGAGGTAGCCTGGCAGGCACACGCTTAGTCTCCACTCTTTGTGCCCAGCGCTATTCTGTGACTACTACAACCCCCGTGGGGAGTGTGAGTGGCACTACCAGCCCTGTGGGGCCCCCTGCCTGAGAACCTGCCGGAACCCCAGTGCACACTGCCTGTTTGACATGCCTGGCTTGGAAGGTAAGAGCAGTGTCCTGGGGGGACCTCCAGGGCCCACTGCCAGGGCGGGCCTACAACTCTTGAGATGTCTGCTGCCAGGGGTGGGGATGCTAGGCTGCCCCTAGCTGACCCGAGAGGGCTTGAGACTCAGTGAGAACCCATACCCATCCTAGGCTGCTACCCAAAGTGTCCACCCAGCAAGCCCTTTTTCAACGAGGACCAGATGAAGTGTGTGGCCCAGTGTGGCTGCTATGATGAGGATGGAAACTACTATGACATTGGCACGCAGGTCCCCACAACCCAGAACTGCCAGAGCTGGTGAGGCAGGGGATGGCGGGGGTACAGGGAAGGGGTGGCCCCCGCAGGCACTCAGCCTCCCCTCCCTCCTGCAGTCACTGCACCCCTGGCGGCCTCCAGTGCTCTCACAGTCCCTCAGGTAAGGAAGGGCTACTGGGTTGGGTTGGGGCTGGGTTAGAACCTGGGAGTGAGCCCATACCTGCCGGCCCCCAGCCTGCACATGTTTCTACGAGGGCCGGACTTACGGCTACCAAGACATCATCTACAACACCACCGACGGCCTCGGTGCCTGCTTAATGGCCATCTGCGGAAACAATGGGACTATCATCAGGAGGGCGGAGGAATGTCCTGGAACCCCGTCCACAACACCCTTCACCTTCACACCCTTCACCACAAGTAAGCCCTACCTGGCTCAAAGGAAGCCCCTGGCCTGGGCCATCATGTAGCCTGTGGCCAAAGTGATGTTTGGCTGAGTCTGGGACAAGGGAAGACCCCGGGACACATGCCGCAGGAGACCCTATTGCAGAGGACCCCTGGGTCCTGACCCATGACCTGCTGGAGAGACTCTATCAGGGGTCCATGTTCTCATGCCCTACCTGTAACCAGGACCCAGGAAGTCTAGGCACAGAGCTGGCAGGGCTTCCACAGGCACCATAAAGATCTCCCAGGTCCCAGCTGATCCTCAGCACAACCCCTGCCAGCAACTGTGTTTCCTTGCCTGGACACGGGCAGCCAAGCCCAATGCCCTAGTAAGCAATAACCCTGAACAAGGCGTGGGCTGGCCCTTGTATGAGGGGCTCACTATCACCAGCTCCTACTGGGCATGGCGAGGACCAGGCTCATGGACCTCTCACTCCATGCAGGCACAGTGCCCACAGCATCCACGGTGTGTGTTCGCGAGGTTTGCAACTGGTCCAGCTGGTACGACAGCAGCCGTCCAGAGCCTGGTATGGGAGGTGGCGACATGGAGACACTTGGGAACCTGAGGCAGAAGGGGTACCAAGTGTGCCAGGCCCCGGCAGCCATCGAATGCCGTGCAGAGAAGTTCCCCAGCACGCCGTTGCAACAGCTGGGCCAGAAGGTGAATTGCGACCCAGACAGGGGTCTGACATGCTTCAACAGTGAGCAAAGCCCGCCGCTCTGCCACAATTATGAGCTGCGAGTGCTGTGCTGCACCCATGTGCCCTGTGGTCACACCCCGTCCCCGGGAACCAGCACCGTCAAACCTCAGTCAACAACACAAGGCACCTGCCAGCCTCAATGTGAATGGACAGAGTGGTTCGACACAAATTATCCCAAATCTGAGGAGGACGGGGGAGACATAGAGAGCTACGACAGGATTAGGGCAATGGGGGGCAGTATCTGTGAACACCCACAGGACATAGAGTGTGAGACAGACCTCTACCCTGGAAAGAGCCCAGAAACATTGGGACAGCAAGTAAAGTGTGACATGCACTACGGCCTGGAGTGCCACAACAAGGACCAGACAGGGCTGTTCCCCATGTGCTACAACTACAGACTGCGAGTCCTCTGCTGCGGCACAAGCCACTGCGCAGAAACAGCTAGCAAACACCCACTGACCACAGTGCCACGCAACACGACAAAGAGCACACACACACTAGGGTCAGGGTCAACAAAACCTACCAAACACATCCCCCAGCCTGCGACGGCACAGACCACCACCCACTGCCATCCCAGGTGTGAGTGGACAGAGTGGTTTGACATGGACTTCCCCACCTCTGGGGTCGAGGGCGGGGACATGGAGACCTATGAGAACATCAGGGCCGCAGGGGGCAAGATATGCCAGGAGCCCCAGAAGATACAGTGCCGGGCAGAGAATTACCCAGAGGTCAGCATCGACCAGATCGGGCAGGTGGTGACCTGCCACCCCCAGGTCGGGCTGGTCTGCAAGAACAAGGACCAGACGGGAAAGTTCAACATGTGCTTCAACTACAACGTGCGAGTGCTCTGCTGCGACTCCAGCCACTGCCCCAAAACGACCACCACACTGCCACCATCTCCTTTGTCCACCACGCTGGCGCCCACGACCGCACTGCCCACTACCACCGCACTGCCCACCACCACACCCCTGTCCACCACCACCCCCCTGCCCACCACCACCCAGACTACCACCTACTGCCAACCCAGGTGTGAGTGGACAGAGTGGTTTGACACGGACTTCCCCACCTCTGAGGTCGAGGGCGGGGACATGGAGACCTATGAGAACATCAGGGCCGCAGGGGGCAAGATGTGCCAGGAGCCCCAGAAGATACAGTGCCAGGCAGAGAACTACCCAGAGGTCAGCATCGACCAAATAGGGCAGGTGGTGACCTGCAACCCCCAGGTTGGGCTGATCTGCAAGAACAAGGACCAGACGGGCGAGTTCAACATGTGCTTCAACTACAACGTGCGAGTGCTCTGCTGCGACTCCAGCCACTGCCCCACCACGGCCACCCCACTGCCACCATCTCCTTTGTCCACCACGCTGGCGCCCACCACCGCACTGCCCACTACCACCACTCTACCCACCACCACCGCTCTACCCCCCACCACCCCTCTGCCAACCACCACCCCCCTGCCCACCACCACCCAGACCACCACCTACTGCCAACCCAGGTGTGAGTGGACAGAGTGGTTTGATATGGACTTCCCCACCTCTGGGGTCGAGGGCGGGGACATAGAGACCTATGAGAACATCAGGGCCGCCGGGGGCAAGATGTGCCAAGAGCCCCAGAAGATACAGTGCCGGGCAGAGAACTATCCCGAGGTCAGCATCGACCAGATTGGGCAGGTGGTGACCTGCAACCCCGAGGTAGGGCTGGTCTGCAAGAACAAGGACCAGACGGGAAAGTTCAACATGTGCTTCAACTACAACGTGCGAGTGCTCTGCTGCGACTCCAGCCACTGCCCCACCACAGCCACCCCACTGCCACCCTCTCCTTTGTCCACCACGCTGGCGCCCACCACCGCACTGCCCACTACCACCGCGCTGCCCACCACCACCCCCTTGCCCACCACCACCCCCCTGCCCACCACCACCCAGACTACCACCTACTGCCAACCCAGGTGTGAGTGGACAGAGTGGTTTGACTCGGACTTCCCCACCTCTGGGGTCGAGGGCGCAGACATGGAGACCTACGAGAACATCAGGGCCGCCGGGGGCAAGATGTGCCAGGAGCCCCAGAAGATACAGTGCCGGGCAGAGAACTACCCCGAGGTCAGCATCAACCAGATCGGGCAGGTGGTGACCTGCAACCCCCAGGTCGGGCTGGTCTGCAAGAACAAGGACCAGACGGGCGAGTTCAACATGTGCTTCAACTACAACGTGCGAGTGCTCTGCTGCGACTCCAGCCACTGCCCCACCACGGCCACCACACTGGCGCCCAGCACCACTGCACTGCCCACTACCACCGCGCTGCCCACCACCACCGCTCTGCCCACCACCACCCCCCTGCCCACCACCACCGCACTGCCCACCACCACCCAGACGACCACCTACTGCCAACCGAGGTGTGAGTGGACAGAGTGGTTTGATATGGACTTCCCCACCTCTGGGGTCGAGGGCGGAGACATAGAGACCTACGAGAACATCAGGGCCGCCGGGGGCAAGATGTGCCAGGAGCCCCAGAAGATACAGTGCCGGGCAGAGAACTACCCCGAGGTCAGCATCGACCAGATCGGGCAGGTGGTGACCTGCAACCCCCAGGTCGGGCTGGTCTGCAAGAACAAGGACCAGACGGGCGAGTTCAACATGTGCTTCAACTACAACGTGCGAGTGCTCTGCTGCGACTCCAGCCACTGCCCCACCACGGCCACCCCACTGCCACCCTCTCCTTTGCCCACCACGCTGGCACCCACCACCGCACTGCCCACTACCACCACTCTACCCACCACCACCGCTCTACCCACCACCACCCCTCTGCCAACCACTACCACTCTGCCCACCACGACCCAGACCACCAACTACTGCCAACCGAGGTGTGAGTGGACAGAGTGGTTTGACACGGACTTCCCCACCTCTGGGGAAGAGGGCGCAGACATGGAGACCTATGAGAACATCAGGGCCGCAGGGGGCAAGATGTGCCAGGAGCCCCAGAACATACAGTGCCGGGCAGAGAACTACCCAGAGGTCAGCATCGACCAGATCGGGCAGGTGGTGACCTGCCACCCCCAATTCGGGCTGGTCTGCAAGAACAAGGACCAGACGGGCGAGTTCAACATGTGCTTCAACTACAACGTGCGAGTGCTCTGCTGCGACTCCAGCCACTGCCCCACCACGGCCACCCCACTGCCACCATCTCCTTTGTCAACCACGCTGGCGCCCACCACCGCACTGCCCACCACCACCACGCTGCCCACCACCACCGCGCTGCCCACCACCACCCCCTTGCCCACCACCACCCCCCTGCACACCACCACCCAGACTACCACCTACTGCCAAATCAGGTGTGAGTGGACAGAGTGGTTTGACACGGACTTCCCCACCTCTGGGGTCGAGGGCGGGGACATGGAGACCTATGAGAACATCAGGGCCGCAGGGGGCAAGATGTGCCAGGAGCCCCAGAACATACAGTGCCGGGCAGAGAACTACCCCGAGGTCAGCATCGATCAGATCGGGCAGGTGGTGACCTGCAACCCCCAGGTCGGGCTGGTCTGCAAGAACAAGGACCAGACGGGCAAGTTCAACATGTGCTTCAACTACAACGTGCGAGTGCTCTGCTGCAACTCCAGCCACTGCCCCACCACGGCCACCCCACTGCCACCCTCTCCTTTGCCCACCACACTGGCACCCACCACCACTGCACTGCCCACCACCACCGCTCTACCCACCACCACCCCTCTGCCAACCACTACCACTCTGCCCACCACGACCCAGACCACCAACTACTGCCAACCGAGGTGTGAGTGGACAGAGTGGTATGACACGGACTTCCCCACCTCTGAGGTCGAGGGCGGGGACATGGAGACCTACGAGAACATCAAGGCCGCAGGGGGCAAGATGTGCCAGGAGCCCCAGAAGATACAGTGCCGGGCAGAGAACTATCCCGAGGTCAGCATCGACCAGATCGGGCAGGTGGTGACCTGCCACCCCCAGGTCGGGCTGGTCTGCAAGAACAAGGACCAGACGGGAAAGTTCAACATGTGCTTCAACTACAACGTGCGAGTGCTCTGCTGCGACTCCAGCCACTGCCCCAAAACGACCACCACACTGCCACCATCTCCTTTGTCCACCACGCTGGCGCCCACGACCGCACTGCCCACTACCACCGCACTGCCCACCACCACACCCCTGTCCACCACCACCCCCCTGCCCACCACCACCCAGACTACCACCTACTGCCAACCCAGGTGTGAGTGGACAGAGTGGTTTGACACGGACTTCCCCACCTCTGAGGTCGAGGGCGGGGACATGGAGACCTATGAGAACATCAGGGCCGCAGGGGGCAAGATGTGCCAGGAGCCCCAGAAGATACAGTGCCAGGCAGAGAACTACCCAGAGGTCAGCATCGACCAAATAGGGCAGGTGGTGACCTGCAACCCCCAGGTTGGGCTGATCTGCAAGAACAAGGACCAGACGGGCGAGTTCAACATGTGCTTCAACTACAACGTGCGAGTGCTCTGCTGCGACTCCAGCCACTGCCCCACCACGGCCACCCCACTGCCACCATCTCCTTTGTCCACCACGCTGGCGCCCACCACCGCACTGCCCACTACCACCACTCTACCCACCACCACCGCTCTACCCCCCACCACCCCTCTGCCAACCACCACCCCCCTGCCCACCACGACCCAGACCACCAACTACTGCCAACCCAGGTGTGAGTGGACAGAGTGGTTTGATATGGACTTCCCCACCTCTGGGGTCGAGGGCGGGGACATAGAGACCTATGAGAACATCAGGGCCGCCGGGGGCAAGATGTGCCAAGAGCCCCAGAAGATACAGTGCCGGGCAGAGAACTATCCCGAGGTCAGCATCGACCAGATTGGGCAGGTGGTGACCTGCAACCCCGAGGTAGGGCTGGTCTGCAAGAACAAGGACCAGACGGGAAAGTTCAACATGTGCTTCAACTACAACGTGCGAGTGCTCTGCTGCGACTCCAGCCACTGCCCCACCACAGCCACCCCACTGCCACCCTCTCCTTTGTCCACCACGCTGGCGCCCACCACCGCACTGCCCACTACCACCGCGCTGCCCACCACCACCCCCTTGCCCACCACCACCCCCCTGCCCACCACCACCCAGACTACCACCTACTGCCAACCCAGGTGTGAGTGGACAGAGTGGTTTGACTCGGACTTCCCCACCTCTGAAGTCGAGGGCGCAGACATGGAGACCTATGAGAACATCAGGGCCGCAGGGGGCAAGATGTGCCAGGAGCCTCAGAACATACAGTGCCGTGCAGAGAACTACCCTGAGGTCAGCATCAACCAGATCGGGCAGGTGGTGACCTGCAACCCCCAGGTTGGGCTGGTCTGCAAGAACAAGGACCAGACGGGCAAGTTCAACATGTGCTTCAACTACAACGTCCGAGTGCTCTGCTGCGACTCCAGCCACTGCCCCACCACGGCCACCCCACTGCCACCATCGCCTTTGTCCACCACACTGGCGCCCACCACCGCACTGCCCACCACCACCGCGCTGCCCACCACCACCCACTTGCCCACCACCACCCCCCTGCCCACCACCACCCAGACTACCACCTACTGCCAAATCAGGTGTGAGTGGACAGAGTGGTTTGATATGGACTTCCCCACCTCTGGGGTCGAGGGCGGGGACATGGAGACCTATGAGAACATCAGGGCCGCAGGGGGCAAGATGTGCCAGGAGCCCCAGAAGATACAATGCCGTGCAGAGAACTACCCTGAGGTCAGCATCGACCAGATCGGGCAGGTGGTGACCTGCAACCCCCAGGTTGGGCTGGTCTGCAAGAACAAGGAACAGACGGGCAAGTTCAACATGTGCTTCAACTACAACGTCCGAGTGCTCTGCTGCGACTCCAGCCACTGCCCCACCACGGCCACCTCACTGCCACCGTCTCCTTTGTCCACCACGCTGGCGCCCACCACTGCACTGTCCACTACCACCGCGCTGCCTACCACCACCGCGCTGTCCACCACCACTCCCTTGCCCACCACCACCCAGACTACCACCTACTGCCAACCCAGGTGTGAGTGGACAGAGTGGTTTGACTCGGACTTCCCCACCTCTGGGGTCGAGGGCGGGGACATGGAGACCTATGAGAACATCAGGGCCGCAGGGGGCAAGATGTGCCAGGAGCCCCAGAACATACAGTGCCGGGCAGAGAACTACCCAGAGGTCAGCATCGACCAGATCGGGCAGGTGGTGACCTGCCACCCCCAGGTCGGGCTGGTCTGCAAGAACAAGGACCAGACTGGAAAGTTCAACATGTGCTTCAACTACAACGTGCGAGTGCTCTGCTGCGACTCCAGCCACTGCCCCACCACGGCCACCACACTGGCGCCCAGCACCACTGCACTGCCCACTACCACCGCGCTGCCCACCACCACCGCTCTGCCCACCACCACCCCCCTGCCCACCACCACCGCACTGCCCACCACCACCCAGACGACCACCTACTGCCAACCGAGGTGTGAGTGGACAGAGTGGTTTGATATGGACTTCCCCACCTCTGGGGTCGAGGGCGGGGACATAGAGACCTACGAGAACATCAGGGCCGCCGGGGGCAAGATGTGCCAGGAGCCCCAGAAGATACAGTGCCGGGCAGAGAACTACCCCGAGGTCAGCATCGACCAGATCGGGCAGGTGGTGACCTGCAACCCCCAGGTCGGGCTGGTCTGCAAGAACAAGGACCAGACGGGCGAGTTCAACATGTGCTTCAACTACAACGTGCGAGTGCTCTGCTGCGACTCCAGCCACTGCCCCACCACGGCCACCCCACTGCCACCCTCTCCTTTGCCCACCACGCTGGCACCCACCACCGCACTGCCCACTACCACCACTCTACCCACCACCACTGCTCTACCCACCACCACCCCTCTGCCAACCACTACCACTCTGCCCACCACGACCCAGACCACCAACTACTGCCAACCGAGGTGTGAGTGGACAGAGTGGTTTGACACGGACTTCCCCACCTCTGGGGAAGAGGGCGCAGACATGGAGACCTATGAGAACATCAGGGCCGCAGGGGGCAAGATGTGCCAGGAGCCCCAGAAGATACAGTGCCGGGCAGAGAACTACCCAGAGGTCAGCATCGACCAGATCGGGCAGGTGGTGACCTGCCACCCCCAGTCGGGCTGGTCTGCAAGAACAAGGACCAGACGGGCGAGTTCAACATGTGCTTCAACTACAACGTGCGAGTGCTCTGCTGCGACTCCAGCCACTGCCCCACCACGGCCACCCCACTGCCACCCTCTCCTTTGTCCACCACGCTGGCGCCCACCACCGCACTGCCCACCACCACCACGCTGCCCACCACCACCGCGCTGCCCACCACCACTCCCCTGCCCACCACCACCCCCCTGCACACCACCACCCAGACTACCACCTACTGCCAAATCAGGTGTGAGTGGACAGAGTGGTTTGACACGGACTTCCCCACCTCTGGGGTCGAGGGCGGGGACATGGAGACCTATGAGAACATCAGGGCCGCAGGGGGCAAGATGTGCCAGGAGCCCCAGAAGATACAGTGCCGGGCAGAGAACTACCCCGAGGTCAGCATCAATCAGATCGGGCAGGTAGTCACCTGCAACCCCCAGGTCGGGCTGGTCTGCAAGAACAAGGACCAGACGGGCAAGTTCAACATGTGCTTCAACTACAACGTGCGAGTGCTCTGCTGCAACTCCAGCCACTGCCCCACCACGGCCACCCCACTGCCACCCTCTCCTTTGCCCACCACACTGGCACCCACCACCACTGCACTGCCCACCACCACCGCTCTACCCACCACCACCCCTCTGCCAACCACTACCACTCTGCCCACCACGACCCAGACCACCAACTACTGCCAACCGAGGTGTGAGTGGACAGAGTGGTTTGACACGGACTTCCCCACCTCTGAGGTCGAGGGCGGGGACATGGAGACCTACGAGAACATCAAGGCCGCAGGGGGCAAGATGTGCCAGGAGCCCCAGAAGATACAGTGCCGGGCAGAGAACTATCCCGAGGTCAGCATCGACCAGATCGGGCAGGTGGTGACCTGCCACCCCCAGGTCGGGCTGGTCTGCAAGAACAAGGACCAGACGGGAAAGTTCAACATGTGCTTCAACTACAACGTGCGAGTGCTCTGCTGCGACTCCAGCCACTGCCCCACAACGACCACCACACTGCCACCATCTCCTTTGTCCACCACGCTGGCGCCCACGACCGCACTGCCCACTACCACCGCACTGCCCACCACCACACCCCTGTCCACCACCACCCCCCTGCCCACCACCACCCAGACTACCACCTACTGCCAACCCAGGTGTGAGTGGACAGAGTGGTTTGACACGGACTTCCCCACCTCTGAGGTCGAGGGCGGGGACATGGAGACCTATGAGAACATCAGGGCCGCAGGGGGCAAGATGTGCCAGGAGCCCCAGAAGATACAGTGCCAGGCAGAGAACTACCCAGAGGTCAGCATCGACCAAATCGGGCAGGTGGTGACCTGCAACCCCCAGGTTGGGCTGATCTGCAAGAACAAGGACCAGACGGGCGAGTTCAACATGTGCTTCAACTACAACGTGCGAGTGCTCTGCTGCGACTCCAGCCACTGCCCCACCACGGCCACCCCACTGCCACCATCTCCTTTGTCCACCACGCTGGCGCCCACCACCGCACTGCCCACTACCACCACTCTACCCACCACCACCGCTCTACCCACCACCACCCCTCTGCCAACCACCACCCCCCTGCCCACCACGACCCAGACCACCAACTACTGCCAACCCAGGTGTGAGTGGACAGAGTGGTTTGATATGGACTTCCCCACCTCTGGGGTCGAGGGCGGGGACATAGAGACCTATGAGAACATCAGGGCCGCAGGGGGCAAGATGTGCCAGGAGCCCCAGAAGATACAGTGCCGGGCAGAGAACTATCCCGAGGTCAGCATCGACCAGATCGGGCAGGTGGTGACCTGCAACCCCGAGGTAGGGCTGGTCTGCAAGAACAAGGACCAGACGGGAAAGTTCAACATGTGCTTCAACTACAACGTGCGAGTGCTCTGCTGCGACTCCAGCCACTGCCCCACCACAGCCACCCCACTGCCACCCTCTCCTTTGTCCACCACGCTGGCGCCCACCACCGCACTGCCCACTACCACCGCGCTGCCCACCACCACCCCCTTGCCCACCACCACCCCCCTGCCCACCACCACCCAGACTACCACCTACTGCCAACCCAGGTGTGAGTGGACAGAGTGGTTTGACTCGGACTTCCCCACCTCTGAAGTCGAGGGCGCAGACATGGAGACCTATGAGAACATCAGGGCCGCAGGGGGCAAGATGTGCCAGGAGCCTCAGAACATACAGTGCCGTGCAGAGAACTACCCTGAGGTCAGCATCAACCAGATCGGGCAGGTGGTGACCTGCAACCCCCAGGTTGGGCTGGTCTGCAAGAACAAGGACCAGACGGGCAAGTTCAACATGTGCTTCAACTACAACGTCCGAGTGCTCTGCTGCGACTCCAGCCACTGCCCCACCACGGCCACCCCACTGCCACCATCGCCTTTGTCCACCACACTGGCGCCCACCACCGCACTGCCCACCACCACCGCGCTGCCCACCACCACCCACTTGCCCACCACCACCCCCCTGCCCACCACCACCCAGACTACCACCTACTGCCAAATCAGGTGTGAGTGGACAGAGTGGTTTGATATGGACTTCCCCACCTCTGGGGTCGAGGGCGGGGACATGGAGACCTATGAGAACATCAGGGCCGCAGGGGGCAAGATGTGCCAGGAGCCCCAGAAGATACAGTGCCGTGCAGAGAACTACCCTGAGGTCAGCATCGACCAGATCGGGCAGGTGGTGACCTGCAACCCCCAGGTTGGGCTGGTCTGCAAGAACAAGGAACAGACGGGCAAGTTCAACATGTGCTTCAACTACAACGTCCGAGTGCTCTGCTGCGACTCCAGCCACTGCCCCACCACGGCCACCTCACTGCCACCGTCTCCTTTGTCCACCACGCTGGCGCCCACCACTGCACTGTCCACTACCACCGCGCTGCCTACCACCACCGCGCTGTCCACCACCACTCCCTTGCCCACCACCACCCAGACTACCACCTACTGCCAACCCAGGTGTGAGTGGACAGAGTGGTTTGACTCGGACTTCCCCACCTCTGGGGTCGAGGGCGGGGACATGGAGACCTATGAGAACATCAGGGCCGCAGGGGGCAAGATGTGCCAGGAGCCCCAGAACATACAGTGCCGGGCAGAGAACTACCCAGAGGTCAGCATCGACCAGATCGGGCAGGTGGTGACCTGCCACCCCCAGGTCGGGCTGGTCTGCAAGAACAAGGACCAGACTGGAAAGTTCAACATGTGCTTCAACTACAACGTGCGAGTGCTCTGCTGCGACTCCAGCCACTGCCCCACCACGGCCACCCCATTGGCGCCCACCACCAGTGCACTGCCCACTACCACCGCGCTGCCCACCACCACGGCTCTGCCCACCACCAGCCCCCTGCCCACCACCACCGCACTGCCCACCACCACCCAGACGACCACCTACTGCCAACCGAGGTGTGAGTGGACAGAGTGGTTTGATATGGACTTCCCCACCTCTGGGGTCGAGGGCGGAGACATAGAGACCTACGAGAACATCAGGGCCGCAGGGGGCAAGATGTGCCAGGAGCCCCAGAAGATACAGTGCCGGGCAGAGAACTACCCCGAGGTCAGCATCGACCAGATCGGGCAGGTGGTGACCTGCAACCCCCAGGTCGGGCTGGTCTGCAAGAACAAGGACCAGACGGGCGAGTTCAACATGTGCTTCAACTACAACGTGCGAGTGCTCTGCTGCGACTCCAGCCACTGCCCCACCACGGCCACCCCACTGCCACCCTCTCCTTTGCCCACCACGCTGGCACCCACCACCGCACTGCCCACTACCACCACTCTACCCACCACCACCGCTCTACCCACCACCACCCCTCTGCCAACCACTACCACTCTGCCCACCACGACCCAGACCACCAACTACTGCCAACCGAGGTGTGAGTGGACAGAGTGGTTTGACACGGACTTCCCCACCTCTGGGGAAGAGGGCGCAGACATGGAGACCTATGAGAACATCAGGGCCGCAGGGGGCAAGATGTGCCAGGAGCCCCAGAACATACAGTGCCGGGCAGAGAACTACCCAGAGGTCAGCATCGACCAGATCGGGCAGGTGGTGACCTGCCACCCCCAATTCGGGCTGGTCTGCAAGAACAAGGACCAGACGGGCGAGTTCAACATGTGCTTCAACTACAACGTGCGAGTGCTCTGCTGCGACTCCAGCCACTGCCCCACCACGGCCACCCCACTGCCACCATCTCCTTTGTCCACCACGCTGGCGCCCACCACCGCACTGCCCACCACCACCACGCTGCCCACCACCACCGCGCTGCCCACCACCACCCCCTGCCCACCACCACCCCCTGCACACCACCACCCAGACTACCACCTACTGCCAACTCAGGTGTGAGTGGACAGAGTGGTTTGACACGGACTTCCCCACCTCTGGGGTCGAGGGCGGGGACATGGAGACCTATGAGAACATCAGGGCCGCAGGGGGCAAGATGTGCCAGGAGCCCCAGAACATACAGTGCCGGGCAGAGAACTACCCCGAGGTCAGCATCGACCAGATCGGGCAGGTGGTGACCTGCAACCCCCAGGTCGGGCTGGTCTGCAAGAACAAGGACCAGACGGGCAAGTTCAACATGTGCTTCAACTACAACGTGCGAGTGCTCTGCTGCGACTCCAGCCACTGCCCCACCACGGCCACCCCACTGCCACCCTCTCCTTTGCCCACCACACTGGCACCCACCACCACTGCACTGCCCACCACCACCGCTCTACCCACCACCACCCCTCTGCCCACCACCACCCTTCTGCCAACCACTACCACTCTGCCCACCACGACCCAGACCACCAACTACTGCCAACCGAGGTGTGAGTGGACAGAGTGGTTTGACACGGACTTCCCCACCTCTGGGGAAGAGGGCGCAGACATGGAGACCTATGAGAACATCAGGGCCGCAGGGGGCAAGATGTGCCAGGAGCCCCAGAACATACAGTGCCGGGCAGAGAACTACCCAGAGGTCAGCATCGACCAGATCGGGCAGGTGGTGACCTGCCACCCCCAATTCGGGCTGGTCTGCAAGAACAAGGACCAGACGGGCGAGTTCAACATGTGCTTCAACTACAACGTGCGAGTGCTCTGCTGCGACTCCAGCCACTGCCCCACCACGGCCACCCCACTGCCACCCTCTCCTTTGCCCACCACACTGGCGCCCACCACCACTGCACTGCCCACCACCACCGCTCTACCCACCACCACCCCTCTGCCCACCACCACTGCACTGCCCACCACCACCCAGACCACCACCCAGTGCCAACCCAGGTGTGAGTGGACAGAGTGGTATGACACGGACTTCCCCACCTCTGGGGTCGAGGGCGGGGACATGGAGACCTATGAGAACATCAGGGCCGCAGGGGGCAAGATGTGCCAGGAGCCCCAGAACATACAGTGCCGGGCAGAGAACTACCCAGAGGTCAGCATCGACCAGATCGGGCAGGTGGTGACCTGCAACCCCCAGGTCGGGCTGGTCTGCAAGAACAAGGACCAGACGGGGAAGTTCAACATGTGCTTCAACTACAACGTGCGAGTGCTCTGCTGCGACTCCAGCCACTGCCCCACCCCCACGGCCACCCCACTGCCACCGTCTCCTTTGTCCACCACACTGGCGCCCACCACTGCACTGTCCACTACCACCGCGCTGCCTACCACCACCGTGCTGTCCACCACCACTCCCTTGCCCACCACCACCCCCCTGGCCACCACCACCCAGACTACCACCTACTGCCAACCCAGGTGTGAGTGGACAGAGTGGTTTGACTCGGACTTCCCCACCTCTGGGGTCGAGGGCGGGGACATGGAGACCTATGAGAACATCAGGGCCGCCGGGGGCAAGATGTGCCAGGAGCCCCAGAACATACAGTGCCGGGCAGAGAACTACCCTGAGGTCAGCATCGACCAGATCGGGCAGGTGGTGACCTGCAACCCCCAGGTCGGGCTGGTCTGCAAGAACAAAGACCAGACGGGCGAGTTCAACATGTGCTTCAACTACAATGTGCGTGTGCTCTGCTGCGACTCCAGCCACTGCCCTGTCACAGCAGGCATTTCTTCCTCTACACTGCCTTCCACACCTGGTCCCACCAGTGGCCTGGGCTCCACTGTGCTCGTCAGCACACGCACCTTCCCTGAGCCTTGCTTCTGCAAGGCCTTTGGAGGGCTCTTCTCACCTGGTGAGTTGGATCACAGGGTCTCCCTTTCTTTCCCTGGTGTGTGTGTCCAGTCTTCTCTTATGGTCCACCTACCTATGGTGTAGTCTCCTCATGTCCTTGTCTGGCCATCCTTCTCCTCATGTGTTTGCCCTGTGCCCCTAGCCTTGGCAGTTGCCTTCAGGTCGTTAGCTTCCTTTGGGTGAGTGCTCTTGAGGTTGTTTTCTGTCTCGTAGGCGATGTCATCTACAACAAGACCGACAGAGCTGGATGCAACTTCTATGCCATCTGCACCCAGGAGTGTGGCATTGAGCGCTTCCATGGCACTTGCCCCACCTCCTCACCCACCATGTCCTCCATCCCTGTGCCCCCACCCTCACCGCCTCTTGGCTGTGATAATGCTGTTCCTCCCCGACAGGTAGGCTTCCCTTACCCTGTTGTGTAGGGATTTTGTCTGAGACCTCAGGTTTCAGAAGAGGGCCAGCACTTGCAATTGTTCTACTGCCCTTAGCGGTGGCCAATGACCAGCACCACCACCACCCGCATCCCCTCAGGCTTCGTTAGTGACCCATGCCCTGGTATCTTTTTGGGTGCAGGCACTGAAAATCCAGGGTGTTGGTCATCACAGTCTTTTTTCCCTCTGGTGGCTCATGTGCATGTGACCTCTGTCTTAGGTGTGCTGGGTGATGGGACCCCATGAGCCGCCCCAGGTTGGCACCCTGCTTGTTCTCTGCTCCAGGTGAATGAGTCCTGGACCCTGGAGAACTGCACTGTAGCCAGGTGTGAGGGAAACAATCGTGTTGTCCTGCTAGAGCCATCGCCCGTGGCCAGCATCACCTGTGTGAACCAGCACATGCCCATCAAAGTGTGGAGCCAGAGCCAGCCTTGCCTCTTCCACTACGAGTGCGAGTGTGAGCAGGCAGTGGGTGGGGAACAAGCCGAGGCAGAGGAGCAGGCCCTGCGTGCAGCAGGCTGGGAGGTGGCCAGCCATCACTGACTGTAGACTGACTGCTCAGTGAACACGCTTGCTCTGTTAACCTGCAGGCGCATGTCCTCTGGGAAGGGCTAAGGATGCAAACCACGACCAGAGGGGATTTTTCTGGGGGTCTTGAGGATCTGCTTCTGTTACCAAGGGCACAGGACATCACAGTCCTGCTGGCCTCAGGACAGCAGACACCCACAAGCCTCTCCGTCCTGAGGCCAGGTCCCAGATCAGGATGCAGGCCAGGCACCCTGAGAGGCCTGGGAGGGCCCTTCCTGCCTGTTAGTTCTAGGGGACCCAGGTGTCCTTATCTTGAGGCCACACCACTCCAGTCTCTGGCTGTGACTTGTCATGGCCTTCTCTGTGTGTCCTCTCCTGTCTCACTGGATTCAGGGCCACCGAGGTAATGCAGGCTGATCCCATTTCAAGATCCTTCTCTGAATCCTCTGCAAAGACCCCTTTCCCATAAGGTCACAGACACAGGTCCAAAGGTACATATGGCTTATGGGGACAAAATTAAACCCATGACACACATTTTGTAGATGAGGCAACTGAGGCCTAGAGACTTGTGTGGCTGCCCTGAGTCACAGTGGGGCTGAGGAAGAGGACCTCCAGCCTGTGTGTCCCACAGGTTTCTGCAGTGGATGGGGCCACTGGAACTTCATGACATTCGACGGTACCTCCTACTCCTTCCGGGGCAACTGTACCTACACCCTCATGAGGGAGATCCACCCTCGCCACGGGAACCTGAGCATCCTCATTGACAACCACCACTGCAGGGCCCACGACACGGCCAGCTGCCCCCAAGCCCTCCGAGTGCACTACGAGTCCACAGAGATCATCCTCACTACCACCAACACCAGCGCAGGAGAGGAGAGCCTGGTGGGTCCCTGGGCAGGTGGAGCAGGCCCTCCCCATGCAGAGGCCAGGAGTGTGCCTTCCTCCCTGCGGTGACAGTCCCCAGGGGTGCAGGAGGACCCACAGGGCAGGCTGCCTGAGGCAGAGCACATCTGTAGGCCCCACGTCCCTGAAGGAAAATCCAGTCTCTCGGATGGAGGTGGACATGCTGGCCTCCAGTGCTCAGGGATCAGAACCCCTAAAAGCTGCCTGGACCTGCCCCTGGCTAGGGTTTCCTGCACTTCCCCAGATCCTTTTCAACCAAATGCGGGTGAGCCGGGGCTTCAGCAAGAACGGCATTAGCGTGTCCATGACGGGGGCCACCACGATGGGCATCCACATTCCTGCTGTTGGCGTGAGCATCACTTTCAATGGGCACACCTTCCAGATCCAGTTGTCCTATGGCTACTTTGGCCACAACACGGAGGGCCAGTGCGGTGAGTGGGTGCAGCCTGGCTCCCAGCTGCCTGCTCTCCCCCAACCACCTGCCCAGGCCAGAGCCATCTCTGGGCCTCCCAGTCGATAGAAGGACTTGGGTCAGAGGATACAGCCAGAGGCTTCCTGGGCTCCAGCCTGCAGTGACCTCTGCCCCACTCCCCAGGCACCTGCACCAACAGCCAGAGTGATGACTGCCGCCGGCCTGATGGCACCATCGCCCCCAACTGCCAGGACATGGCCAAGACCTGGGTGGTGCCTGACAGTAGCCGAGAGGACTGCCAGGCAGTACCCAACCTTCCTGTCACCACCAGCCCCCCACCCCCAGTGTACAGCACAACTAGCTCCACCCCCTGCCCCATCTCACCCCTCTGCAAACTGATGCTGAGCGGGTGAGTCCTTGGCTTTGATATGGTGGGTGTGGGCAACAAGCCCTGCCCGGCTGGATTCTTCTGGGCACAGAGCACTTAGCCCTGCAACCTCTTGTCTGAAGGGTCTTTGCTGAGTGCCACAGCCTCATCCCACCTGGTCCCTTCTTCCATACCTGCGTGAGTGACAGCTGCCAGGCTGACACCCTCATGCTTTGCCAGAACCTGGAGGCCTATGCGGCACTGTGCCGCTCCCGGGACGTGTGTGTGGACTGGCGCAACGCTACCAGTGGGCTGTGTGGTGAGTGGAGCAGGCCCAGGCTTCCAGCCTCCTGAGCCTGCCTGATGCCCATCTAACACCTGTCTCTGCCCACAGACCACCCCTGCCCACCCACCAAGAGGTACAGGCCATGTGGCCCCATGCAGCCTGCAGCCTGTGACTCCAGGTGAGCTCAGGCTGGGCAGTGGCTTCCTGGGCTCCAGCAGTCTTCCAGGGGCAGCAGTCTCCTCGGTCTGTGTAGGCCAGCCAGAGGTCCAGAGGAACCAGAAGACCAGAGCACGTTGGGGCTCTGACCCTGAGCTCTGTGGCCCCCAACTCCAGGACTCCCTGGAACTCCTCCAGAGCTTCCAATCCCTTGGGCAGGGCAAGACACCAGGGAGGATGCCCATCTACATTCTGACTCTGGCCACTGTGGCCATCCCCACCCTTCCTTGGCTGCTTGTAAGGGGCTCAGAATCCTGCTCTTCTTCCCTGTAGGACCCACAGTCCCCTGAGCTCACAACTGGCTGAGGGCTGCTTCTGCCCTGAGCACCAGCTCCTCTTCAGCTTGAGCACAGACATCTGTGTGCCCGAATGCTGTAAGCATGTCCCCCGCTACAGAACGTGGAGCCCATCTTCACCTGCATAGACAGGGTCCCCTGTGTCACAGGCCCCATTCTGCCAGGCCAGAGCATAAGGTGGCCACAGCAAGGCCTACAGTCTTGCAGAGCCCCAATGGCCCCCTGGAGCCAGCTGCACAGGGCATAGAGCTCTTGTGCTTGTTACTGCTCCAGTCAAGGACCCCTGGAAAACTCCCCACCCCAAACCCTGTCCCAGCAACACCACACCCATGAGTTCTCCCAGGGCTTCTGCTCCATCCTGGTGGGAAGACAAAGGCCTAAAGTGGGCGGGCGACCAGTCCCAAGAGCACACATAGTCCGTGGCCTGGGCCCCATCTACCCAGCACCCTGAGTGACTCTTCCCTTCTTCCAGCCTGCGTGGGACCAGATGGGTCTCCCAAATTTGTGAGTGGTTCTGCCCCCACCTGCCCCTACCCCATCTTGAGCTGAGGGAGGGAGGGAGGGAGCACCCTACCTTGAGTGGCCAGCTCTGCCACAGTCCTGGGGCTGACATCCTTCCTGCCCTGTCACTCAGTCTGTGAAAGGCCAACCCTGCTGATGGGGACCTGGCCTGCTCTTGCACAGCTGGGAAAGCTGAGACCTCATCTGGAGCCAGCCCTGTAGCCTGTGGTGACCCTGGCATGGTCTTTTGCAGCTGGGAGAGCAATGGATCAGCAACTGCCAGTCCTGTGTGTGTGATGAGGGCTCAGCATCCGTGAGGTGCAAGCCGGTGCAGTGCGAGGTCCAGGACCTGCCCCTGCAGTGTGGGCAGCCTGGTTTCATGGCCCTAACCAGGCCCCAGGCCAACAACCCCTGCTGCTCTGAGACACTGTGTGGTGAGCACCCAATAGCAGGAGTTGGGGTTGGGGAGCAGAGGGGATGTGTGTCCTGGCCTGACCTTAGCTGGACCACTTGGTGGGGCGGCCTCAAGGCGCTTCCGTTTTCCACCTGAAGATGAGGCTAGTACCTCTGGTTTGACCCCTAGATGGTCCCGGGCTTGGGAAGGGTTGGGGGTAAGAAGCACAGCAGCCTCTGAGAACCAGAAGCCTGCACATCCAGGAAGGGACAGAAGCATGCCACTGGGCGGCTCCCCTGACAGGCCCCCTTCTCCACAGTCTGCAATGTGACCACCTGCCCCCAGGACCCACCTGAGTGTGGGCCTGGGCAGGAGCTGACCTACACCCAGGAACAGAGCAGCTGCTGCCCCAACTTCAGCTGCCGTGAGTGGAGTGGGCAGGGTGGGGCAAGGCTGCACCCCAACCCCCTCTGGGACCTTGTTGCTTAGGAGAGTGGGCAGGGCAGGGAGGGACCCAGGCGCACTCAGCCCTCCTTTTCCTTTCAGGACCTAAGCTGTGCAACTACAATGGCACTGTCTATGGGGTAAGGGCTTGGCCTGGGCATGGTGCTGGCAGGTCTCGGGGGCAGGTGGGGTACCCATCTTCCTCAGTCCCCTGCCTCACCTCCACATTCCTGCCTCGAGGGTACATCTCTGCACCCTGTTCTCAAGAGCACTGGAAGGCTGGCCTCCATACATGTTCATGCATTTCAGCTTTAGGGACCTTGCAGAAGGCAGTCAAGATGTTAACTCTGGGGTCCCAGCCCATGGCAGCCCCTGCCCACCAAGTCCTGTGCTCTGCTAGGGACACATTTACATTCCAGTTGAGGAAGAAACAGTTCCTCTGTGCCCCACCTGGCCACAGGGAGGGTCCTGGCCCTGAGTCCCACCCAGTATCCTTGGTGCACCCCCTGATCTACTGTAGGTCGGAGCCACCTTTCCAGGGGTCATTCCCTGCCACATATGCATCTGCGTCTCCATGGGAACCCAGGCCCCAACTGTGCAGTGTAAGGAGGTTGCCTGTACCACCTCCTGCCCCCAGGTGAGCCCGAGACTCGGAGACCCAGCTCCAAATGCCTACCTGGTGACAGCCACCAGGAGGATATTCCAGCTCAGCCTACACTGGGGCCTTATTTTTCACCACAGACAGGGTATGAAGTAGGAAGAATGGAAGGGGGATTGAAGGGACAAGACCTGTGGGCTACTGGGACAGGGGTTAGGCTAAGCAGGGACAAGTAGGAAGGGGGATATAGCACTGGGAAGGGACATGGCCTCACAGCAGGTGGCTACCAAGGAGGTATGCAGGCCCCCTGGCGTGTGGTAGGAAGGCAGGCTGGGCTGGAGGAGAGAGACCTGACCATCCCTTCTGCCCTTCAGGGCTTTGAGTATTCAAGATCAGACAGACAGTGTGTTCCGATCACCTGCTTCACACCGGAGGGCCAGTCAGTCCAGGTAATTTAAGAAGGCTTTAGAGATGGGACTCTCCTGGGAAATCCTCACCTCGGTGGGGCTCAGCTCCAGGCACTAACCCCGCAGTGCCTTCCTTCCCTGCATTTCAGCCCAATGAAACCTGGGTCAGCAGCCATGTGGACAACTGCACTGAGTACCGCTGTGAGACCAAGAGTGGGATCCCCGTGCTGACCCCACGGCCCAAGCCTTGCCCTGACGTGTCCAACTGCAGTGTGAGCATCTGGGAAACCCCGCCCCAAGAGGTCCTACCCATGGGGAATTACCATCCCAAAAGACCCCACTCCCGCCATGCCCAGGGAAGGTCTCCTGGAGTCCACCCCACTCCAGGAATATTCCCTATCCTTGGCCCTGCAGGGGATCCTCAGGAAAGCTGGGTGCTGCTACTCCTGTGAGGAAAGGGGTGAGTCGAGGCTCCTTCCTACCACCCTCCAGTTCTGCCCAATGACTCCTGCCAGAAGCTGACAGTCTTCTCATATGAGGCGGCAGTGGGACCCCAGGTCCCAGATCCACCCCTGAGGAACGGAAGGGGTGGTTATGCATGGAGGGGAGGCTCCCCTAGTCCAGGGCCTTGCAGTGAGGATCTGAACTGTCTTTTTCCAAGACTCGTGCCAAGTTCGTGACACCCTGACCATCCTGCGGTACCAGGGCTGTGAGACGGAGACTGTGGTCAATGTCAGCTTCTGCGAGGGCTCCTGTCCTGGAGTGTCCAAGTGAGTGGACAACGTGGTCTGTCAAGAGTATAGCAGAGCTAATAGGCCACCCACAGTCACCCAGGGCCTGTCTGTTGGCCTGCTGACCAGCTCTGAGTCAGGAGGCCACACCTGCTACAGGAAGGAGGGAACAGGCTTCCAGCAGGGTGCTCTCTCCATGTCCATCTGCGCATAGCTCCATCCCTAAGGAATGGAAGGGGTGGTTATGCATGGAGGGGAGGCTCCCCTAGTCCAGGGGAGCTGACCAGGCCAGGGGTAAACTCCAGGGCCTAGGGAGGATCCAGAAATGTCTGCCCAGAGTTAGTGAGATGGAGGAGCCAGTTCATGGTCAGGGATCTTCGGGGTCCACAGAAGGCAAAACAGGGTTCAAAGTGACCCTGAACACCCAGAGAGCCCAGGAAGGGAAAGCCTGTGTGCTTGGGGAGATGACCAGGGGCCACTTGTGGACAGATGGGGCAGCTATCAAGAGCATAGAGGCCCATAAACACTGTAGTTGCTAAGAGAAACCTCAGGGATAGGGGGCCATCCTAAGGGTAGCACCATGTCCACAGGTACTCAATGGAGGCCCAGGCCATGCAGCAAAAGTGCACCTGCTGCCAGGAGAGGAGGACCCACCAGGAGGCTGTGATCATGCGGTGTCCCAACGGCACAGACATTCAGCACACCTACACCCAAGTGGACGAGTGCAGCTGCTCCCTGTCCTGCCTCTCCTTAACCCAGGCTCCCATGGACACACACATCTAGGGGTCACTGGTGGGGAACATCCTGGCCCCCATCCCTGTGCCCCTCCTCCTGGAGCCAGAACACGCATCACTGACTACAAAAACCTTGGGTGGGCCTGTGAGCCTCCCTGCCAGTGCCCTGGAACATTATGGACAGTGAGGATCCACTTGAGGAGGGCACAGGCAGGTGTCCTGCCCTCAGAGACCCTCCAGCCTGTCTGGGTCACTTACCATCAGGCCCCACCCTGGCCTTATGCCTTTCTGATGGCATCAAGATGCCCTGAAGCAAAACTGAGCACCTGCTGCTGCCATCTCACCACAGGCCTGGGGGCCCCAACCCACAGGGCTCTAAGAGGCAAGATTTTCTGCCAGGCGCCAGGGAGCTCCATCAGGCATGGGGGCTACCTGTCCATGTCTGCACCCTAGGGCTGGCTGGAGGGGACTTGGGGGCTGCTAAGGGTGGGATGGAGGGGAGCCCCCAAGTACCCCTCTGCTCACTTAACCTCAAACTACAATAAACCCTGGCACTGTGTGTCTCCTTCCTGAGTCTTTATCTGCCAGCTCTATCTGTGGGCCTGTTCCAGCTGATGAACCTGGCAGGGCCACACACACAAAGAGCCTCTGGGAGGGACAGGCAGCAGGGCAATGGGAATCTGTGGGTCATGTGCAGGCCCCTGGGCACCACTGGATGCCAATCTTGGGCTGTGGGTATACTGGCCAGGCCTGCAGACACCAGCCTAGCCATTATAGGGACAGGGGGGCAGCTAACATATGTGAGACTGGATCACATGCAAAGACTGAAGAGTCTGTGGACAGCAGAGAGGCAACCCTGACCCCAGACATCATGGAGGTGTGGCTGCCTCCCAGCACAGGAGTATGAGGTGGGGGCCGGATATGTGCACAGCCTTGCTCAGGCCCCAGGGGCTGCAACTGATGCTGGCACTCCATGTCCACCACCACCTCCAACTCAAAGGCTGGGGATATGGAGGTGGGGTGCAACAGGAAATCTACCAACGAGGACACAAACATAGTGTGGGACGCAGGGTACCCTAACTGGGCTTGGCTGCATAGGAAGGGCAAGAAATGAAAGCAAGAAATTAAGTGGGCAAGGGCCTACTATAAGTGGTGCTGCATCCTGGGGAGGCAGAGACCATGCTGGCTACCATGCTGACCAAGAAGCCTTTGAAGGGGCAGGGGGTCTCTGCCTCAGGCTGTCCAGCCCCCAGGACGTGGCAGTGGTCAGGCCCTGCAACATAGAGCTCCTGCTCCTTCCTAGGGCCTGATGAAGAGCATCTGGTTTCCCCTCATGGCTATGGCCAAGCCTGGCAGGCAGGCCACCCCACAACTGGACCAGAGGTAATCCAAGGGACTAACAAGGCTGCAGGTGAACAGCAGGGACACATGTGGTCACTGGGGTCGCCTTCTTCATGTTTACTCTTCATCTCAGAGTCTGACCTCCTAGAAAGTGTGGCAAGTCCCTTCTCTGTCTGGGTCTCTATCACACCAGTCATTCCCGTGCCACTGTCACCTGCCTGGGACAAGCACACATGCCAAGCTTTCAGTGTGCCAGGGCATCATCCTTTCATCCCGACCAAGGTCTCATGCAGGGTGTGCTATTACTGTTCCCACTTTACAGGCGGGAAACTGAGGACAGAAATAAGAAGATGCTTCAGAAGGGGTAAAAGTCCTCTCTAAACCACAGGTTCATTGCAGTGCCAGGGGAGGTAACTGCAAAAACAGAACAAGGAATAAAATCAAGAGTGCTAGTTACTTTAAATATATTTTTAAAGGGATTTCTGGCTTCTAGATGGAAAAGTGGGCATCTCTTTCCCCAAAGATAAAAGGCATGACAATGAGAGGAACTTTAAAATAGGAGCAACTGAAAGTGACAGTGAGTTAGTAGACAGATGCCTTCCTGAGAAGCAAAGACTCTGGAAGCACTGATGGTGAGCTTACAGGAAGTGCACTCTTGGCCCCAGCCACCAGCCCCCTCAGGAAGCCAGCACTCTAGAGTGCCAAAGCTCCAACAAAACGGGTGAAAGGCCCTGTAGTAGGATTTTTCCCCCCAAGATTTAAGGATACTGAGGACAGATCTCAAGTTTTGATATTTTTCTATTGAGCTCCACAGAAAGGAACAGAGAGGGCAGAGAGGCAGTATATGACGAGGTAGTGACCTTCCAGAAGGAAAAACAAAAGCCCCAGGACTGAAGGCACTCCAAGAATGCCATAGAGATGGAGAAAGGCAGTCCACTCCTCACTCACGCAGTGAGATTCTGGAACACCAAGCACAAACATCAAGGTTGCCCGATAGAAGCAGCAGGTCACCTGCTGAGGGGCACAATTCTGGTGGCCTCTGGTCCTATGTCAGTTGTGCTGGACGTCAGGAGACAGTGTGCAGTGCCTGAAGGTGCCAAGGAAAAATGTCTCTAAGCACAAAGTTCCACACCCAACAAAACTCTTCTGTAAGAGTGGCAGGAAGAAAACTAGTGACAAAGAGTCAGGCAGATGCCTTACACAGACCCTGCATGAACTAGGGGTGAAGCTGGCCTGTGGCAAGAAGAATGTCAGAGAGCAGCCATCCTGAAGCACTGTAAGAAGAAACACCCAGAAAGCATGCAAAAGCTCACCATCTCAATAGGCACACTGGTCTGCGTCTTTCTCTGTGGCTAGTGCTTCCGGGAAAGCACTTGCCTGCGCTGGGGCCCTCTGTGGAAGTGCTACAGTTACACCTTCCACCTTACACTCTGCATCCACCAGGGGTGGTGTCTGAGTGGTATGAAGGAGGGTCTGAGCCACTGTATTTCCTTCCTCTGCCCATCACCCTGGGCCAGGTCTTCCCACAGTGGTGTCAACTGCCTGGGCTTTGTGATCTCAGTGTCAACAGCAGCCTCTGCCATCTCACAGCTGAGGGTCTTCACTTTGAGCTGTTCCCACAAGATGCATCCATGCTCTTCAGCCTTCCCAATTGCTGCGTAAGGAGCTTCCAAAGAGCCACAGCAAAAAGAAACAAAACAAAAAAACTGGCTTGCAGGACTTTGATGGGGTTGTGTATTGTCAGCAAGGACAGCATGCAGACCAAGGCAAGGTGGCCATGGGGATGACTGGGTAGCAGCTAGGAAATGGCAGGCTTGGACCCATTCTTCACACATCAACCCTTCTGCTGCTGTGGTCTGGCAGTGCTGGAGGTGGAACCCAGGGCCTCAGGCATGCTAGGCGCACACTTTACCACTGGGTACAACCTAACCCCAACCTTCATGCGAAGGACACATCTACTTGGATGGCTGACCCAACACCAAAGAAATAGAAGTATACAAGCAGTAGAAAAAAATATGGGTAAACATATTTAAGCCCTGAAAATGGAAAAGGCTTTGCTAGTTACGAAGAGAAATCCAGAAACTCTAAAGGAGAGAATAAAAAATTTGACAACATTGGGCGGGGGGGGGGGGGACTTTTTGGGCTGGGATTGTGGCTCAGTGGTAGAGCGCTTGCCTCACACGTGCAAGACTCTGGGCTCAATCCTCAGCACCACATAAAAATAAATAAGTGAAATAAAGGTATTGTGTCCAACTCCAACTAAAAAAATAAATATTAAAAAACAAAACTTGTACATGAAACAAAATCAACAGCAAAATAAAAGGCAAAAGGCAGACCAGCAACACAGCCATAGCCCCCAATACAGAAGAGCAGCTAAGAACAGAGAAGAGAGACCAGTGGTCCTGAAGACAATAGACAATGTAAGCCAGAAACAGAAGAGATTCTTTGCAAAAAAAAAAAAAAAGGAAAACAAGCATCCCTCAAACTCACTCAATCTCACTCCCTGAAAGAGATTCAAGTAGAGAGGCTGCCCTGGCAGGTGGGGTTGGAGGGGTCTGGAAAGACCTGAAGATCACAGGTCCCTCCTGGGCTCAGAGAAGTATTTCAAATGACTCAAACACAGGGACTGAACAGACTCTCCAGGGGAATCCACTCCAGTCGGCCACAGCCCTGCCTAGCTCTGCTGCCCGCCTCAGGCCCCTTCCTGTTCTGCACCACCTCCCAGGGCCTGTACTTTTCTGCCCCAGCTCACACCTGGCATCTCTCTGAAGGGCTGTGCTCAAGTGCCTGAAACTGCCTCCCTTGGGAGACCTCAAGCCAAAGTGACTGAGACGGGACTACAGGAAAACCTGGCTGGTTAAGGCCTCCCCTGAAGCTGCCCTTTCTGTCGGCACCCCACTACCTCCCTCCTTGCATTCCCCTGAGAGTACATCCTTAAAAAATTACACACTAAGAGTCCTCCGACAGTCTGCTTCTGCAGAACTGTATCCAAGACCTACAGCACCAGAAGCAGTTCTGGTGAGCAACCAGTAGCAATGGGACTCTGGGTAGGATCTGCTGTCCCAGCCAGAGGGCAACATAGGCCTCCTACAGAGCCTGAGATGCTCACCTGTTCCGAGTGGGGGTGCAGGCATGAGATAAGCTGCTGGCCCAGATGCCCTGGCACAAGAGGTGACAAATACAACCCAGGAGCTGGTGGGCTGGGGTCACACACCACTGAGGTTGGAGAGAAAGACAACAGGCTCTTGTCTGTCAATGCAGGTGAAGGCCTGGTATGAAAGCCAGACCTCTGGCATATTTAAAGCCAGACCATCTCCTGCAGCTGGAAGGTACTGAGTGCTGGTCCAGAACTCAAGTTCAAGAGGGCAGGAGGTGAAAATGCATGCACCACTGGGTCTCCTCTGCTGATGCCAGGCCCTGATGGAAAGAGTGGGACCCTGAGACCCAGGGTTGGGATATCACCTAGAGGCCCCTGAAAATGAGGCCCCCCAGACCTGCAGAGCCTACTGATACAGCCTCACTGGTTGCTTGACAGAGCTGCCCCCTTGCTCAGACTCCATGAAGGAGCCCCACCTTGCTGGAGGCAGATACCTGGCAGAGCACTGCTGGCATTGCAAGTCTACCCACACCTCTGCTCCTTGCAATTGTCCAGGAACTCAGGCCCAAGCACAGCTGGGCTGAGGAACGGGGACCTCCTGGGTATGAGGGAAGGAGCCAGACAGGGCCTGGGAAAGATGCCTCACCTACAAGGGCAGTGAGGAGGAGGTGGAGGAGGCCACCCAGGAGGAGCTGTCCTCTGCAGGGGGTGCTGAAGGTGCAATATCTGCCACAGAATCAGGCTCCCTGAACAGCAGCAGAGCAAGGTGGCAGCACCTCAATGCCAGAGGTCCCAGAGGTAGCTAACAAGAACAATGCACAGAGCAAGAACAGGAGAGTGCAGGCTGATATCAGTCCCCTCGTGGAAGGCCCTGACCCCTCCACCCACTTCCAAGTCACTGGTAACGGAGAGGTGGGTTCCCTTATTATAAGGGCCCTCACAGTCATCCAAGGTGTTGGGAACCTGGGCCTTCCCATGGCACCACTGTGACCTCTGCTAGGTAAGGCTGTGTGGGGTCAGATGCTAGAGTCCTGGCCCAGGTCTGCCTTTTTGTCCACCTCATAACAGACCTATCTCATTTCCCACACAATTGGGATACTCAGTAGCCAGCACCAACCCAG